AACTCTTAGAAGGTGGGGTACCCCGGCCCCGCATATGGGCCGTGACTCAATTTGTGTTCCTTCAGCTGGCGGGTTGAACTCTTCTGTTAATTTCAATGGAAATGAAGATGTTTCGGTCTTAAGAGAGGTAGAACTATGCCCAAGGGATATGCTTCACTGTTTGGGCCGGTAAGTGGCCACTTAATCAAATTAATTGATAAAAGACTTATAACTAGGTTCTTTAGTTAGCTTGTTTCTCCTTACAGTTTCCTTATTGTTCCAGATTTTAACTTCCTGGTCTATACTTTGTACCCAACCGCAGAGCAGGATGGCACCCTTCTTAAAGCGGGTCTAAGTGATCTACGGGCCAAGTAACCCTAACACTCTATCTGCAATTAAGTCTTACTGCGAAAACGTCTTCGACGGGGGGCAAAGAAAATGACTTCCCTGGAAAATGCAGGCAGACTTAACGAGTTCCTAAACGTACGACGGAGTCATGCCTCTTGGATCGCAAATTGAGTAAGACTTAGTCTTTTCCTATCCTTAAACTTCTTCACTCTATCCTAGCCTCATGCTCTGGCTCTTTATGTGACTGGACAGGAGCAGCCGAATCTTTAAGAAACTTTGTCTACCGATTAGTGACCAAGGTCTATCGATGAGGTACCGGGTCATCCGCTTGGGGACCAATGTGCACCGCTGAGGTTCCAGGTCCCCCAAATAGAGACCAAGAATTACCAACGAGGAACCGCAGTCAACCGATGTAATACCCAGGTCCTTTCTTGAGGACCACGGTTTACCTTTGGGTACTGGGTTTACAAATGAGGTATTGTAGTCATCTTCCTTCAAAACCGCTTAGCCGGTAGTCGGGCAACGATATTTTCCTCGATTGATTTTGCGGGTCCATCTTTCATGAAGCGCTAACCAATAACAAGACTCCTTCTCTTTCAGGCACCCTTTTCTTAATGTTTCCCTTTCCCTTCATCGTGATAGCCTCCGGGTCCGTTATCGTTTTAGAATCACTTCAGCAAATCTTTTGTGACAGCAAAACAATTTAAGATCCCATTGGAGGACTTGATCACAGCTTCGCACTTAGATAATATGTCTTTTCGTCTTCTACGTCTCTCTCTTCCCCTCCAAGGGCCAAGAAAGCAGATGAAAAAATAAGAGAAAAGCAAGGTTGGAGGAGGTATGGAGATGCTCTAGCGGCCAGCATCAGAGGAAAGCGAATTGACCAACGTTATCAGGTATATTTTAGCAGCTCATGTATGGATTGGTTGGTCGATTGTATCGTCTTAAGGAGTCGCAGGCTGAGCTTCGGAAGGATGTTGCAATGGGTACAAAGTCCAGAAGGGTCTCAGAATGTTGCTTTGTCTTCCCAGACGAGTAGTCGAATTTGCTAGTGTCAGCTTTGTGGCGAGGCCCGCAAGTGCACTTAGATTTGCTGAAAGGCGATCCTAAGATTAATGTGGCAATAATGGTGCATCGAAATACATCCTAACAATCTTGTAGTCTGAGCAAGCCTGTATATGGTATTTATTTTTTCGGCGATCAGAGATTTTGTATTGTTGCTAACGAAGGAGCGGCAGATGTCAGGAATATTCGAAAAAGTGGTGAGGCGAGTACTGATAGGCCTGTATATTCTCTACACGGCATTTAAGATGCTTTAAGGTACCCCGATGCGCAATAAAAAAAACTCAAGATGAGACATTATGACGAGAATGATTTGTTTAAGACCTAGGATCTCAGATTGGAAGACGATTTAAAAGACAGATTTTTTTTGCTTAATCGGCGTGTGATTCTTCTTGTCCCGAATATGAAAAAGTGGATTTATTTGACATTATCTGAAAGGAATGGCCGAGCGAAACTTCAACAAGCAGATCGGCGCCTAATGAAATTAAACACCTACTTTTTAGTAGCTATAAAGCAGATGATGCATGTAAAACTTGCATTGCTCCATCTCAAGCGATGGATCCGTTGACGCACCTAAATTACCCAAGAAAGTCGTGGATAGACCATATGCTGTATTTGGAAACAGTGGATGAAACATCGGGTGGCGTATCGGGCTGTTTTGTTCGGAACAATATTGTTCGGTATACCTCCCATGACATGCACATTTTATTGATGGCAAGTTGAATGATCGGAGAACCAGATATCTTCGCCAAGCGAAAGGGTAAACAAATTCCGCTCAAGCGACGGAGTCAGGTGCTGTAAACGCATATGAACAGAATTTTTTCAGTGCCACTAAGGACCTTCGGTGTACATAAACTTATTGAAAATGTTCTTGTTGTGAAAGCAAATGTGCAATGAGATGTGACACAAATACGCAAATGATTATGGCTGCAGTTGGTGGAGATTGTGCAGAATCCGACGATATTTTGCGAGCAGCTCAAAAAGGATCCCTCTTGTAAATTCACCACCAATTTATGCACTTAAAACGATTCAGGTGAGCATTTGGTGAAGGACGCATCGTCTAAGATTAAGATCACAAATAACAGGCATGTAAAAAGCATGACCTACGTGCAAAAAAACAAGCAGAAATCGCCAAGCCAATACTGACTTGGGTGAGCACTCGCCAATTGATCGATTCGGTGGGGTGATTTGTCGCTTTGGAGTGTCCGATGAAGCCAAAAGATTGGCTTAGAGATAGATACATGACAATTTTTGTGCATTACAAGAGAAACCACGCGAAGGTTTTTCGGGCCAAGGCTAACGATACCGCTGCAAAAGAATTCGAGCATTTTAAGTATTTGAAAACGGTTTGAATTAAGAATTCATGCTGTACGGACTGATTTGGGTGGGTAAAACAAAAAAAACGATTTGACTTCATGGACGCAAGGCGTGTGGATGAACTCGTTTTGAAGATGAAGAAGGTTCTACATGGACTTTATTAAGCGGGGCGTTCGTATAGCAAATTTCTTCACAAAAAGGTAGCAAATTTGGGTCTGATTCAGTGCATGACCGACATGGGTGTGAATTAGTAACGTTTGGAAGAAGAAACTGTTGCGGTTGGCGTTTATGTAGACGATCTACAGGTGACTGTGGACAGTTCATTCGTTGAATTACAGGACCTCTCGGTAAAGGACCTTGAAGAAGTGACAAACTTCCTGAGGATGCGCATTCCTTATGCACCAGGAATCAGGCATGATTTAGATCAAGAAGCGGCAATACGGGAATGATAAAGGATAATGAATCAGAAGAAGCACGTGGTGTTCGCACGCCTATACATGAAGAAGTGAACGAGATCAACTTGATGGCTGAATAGCTGCCGACTAATGATCAAAATTAAAAGACGGAGGTTAAGCATTTTCAATCTTTCGTGGGAAGTATGCTGTGGTTGTCGTTCTGTATCAGACCAGACATATCCTTAGCGGTTCACCGAGCTTCTGGTAGAGCACACTGCCCGACTATCGGGGACTGGAACCTGTCAAAAAGTATCGTGCGATATTTGCAAGAGAGAAATTTGCTGCGTTCGCGAATGAGGCAGGAACTATTAGTCATTAACTCGGTGACCATTACCGGCTATAGTAACGCTGATTTTGCTGCTAGCAAAATGGACAGAACCTTAACTACTGGCGGATGGATCACTGTTGATGGAATTCAGTGAGATAGTTGGCGAAAAAAACAAGGCGGCTTGTCGTTAGTAACAATGGAGGCTGAATTTACTGCAGCATCAGTGGTGGTAACACAGATGCTTGGATTACGAGAGCTACTAGGGGAGATTGGGGTTAGGTGTTGACATCCCACGGTCATCTACGTTAATAATTACGAGGCGCTTCAGCAGCTTAAAGGAGATAGATCGTCAGCTAAATTGAAGCATGTGAATGTGCGCATTACATTTGTGAGCTACCATGCTAAAAGTGGCGGCATAGCGCACAGCTATTTGGAAAGCTCTCGTATGCCAGCTAATTTCGTGACAAAAGTGGTGGAGGAGCTAAAGATTCTGGTGAGCCTAAAGTAAATCATTAACAAGATGGAACCGAATAATTGGTCGAAGTGAAGCTTGTGGAATAAACGAGGTTGATGCATTATGTAAGAAGTGATTTCACACTGATGGTGTAATGCGAACCTACGCATGGATTTTTCATGAGGCTGTATTGGCAAGAGATGACGGACAAATGAAGGAAGTCCAGGAACAAAGAGTGTTGAAAGCTGATAGCTTTTGAGATACAGCGACGGAGTTGCTGCGTGACAGAAAAGGGTTAAGTTTGGCGTGTTTAGCATTTGTCTACGGAAATGCGCGGTCTATATAAGATTTGTTGTTTGTATCGCATCGTTTCGTATTCAGCTTATCTCCAGGTGCATAGATTTACCACTACCTCTTTTGATCTTTGAAGACCGTGTTCGTTTTTTGCTTCCCTGTGTTGTGTCTGTTGTGACCGCAGCAGGATTTACACACCTGACATGTCGTGCGACGTGCGACGTAGCATTCATCCCCTCTTCATTGTCAGTATGCATTATTGCGAGTCTGGAGGGTGAAGCTATTAATGACTGAGCACATGGTCCGTGAACGTACTGAGCTTGATTCAATTCTCTGGACGTTAATTGCTTGCAATAAAGAGCGGTCTCCAGAGCTTACTCCCTATCTTTTGCGGTTAAGGGCTGGTCAACGAAATGGTCAGGACTGCAAGACAATTTCCTTGTTGTGTTGAACACCCTTGTACCACATTTCGCGAAACCTTTGTTTTTCTATCACATTATGCAAATGACCCTCTCTTCGAAGGACCTGTTAACCCCACTACAGTAGAAGAGCACGGATTAATTCGTTGTACCAAAAAGGTCTGTAGCTGATACGCAAGCTGTGCTCCATTTAGAAAAAGGTACTCAATTAACTAAGAAAAAAACTCTATTTCACTTTGTTCATTTTAACACTGTACCTCTTCCGAGCAAAACGTCCCACATAAAGTGACCCTTCGAGCAAACGGTGACTGTGCTTGAATTTATTACCATCGCTTCATACATTCTCTGCAATAATGCACAATTAGACCAACAAAAGTCCAGCTTTTCTGATTCCAGGACACGAGATGCAGCTGCTAGAGACGTGGGCGACAGCGCGACTCGAGGCTCTAGGCGTCGACCGAGTGTTTGCGCCCTACATCGTAAGCATGCTCCCGTCTCCTACAAACAACGACGAAGACTGTATCGAAGACGCCAAGCGCAACATCCACGAGGTGCTCATGGGGTGGCTCGCACCCGAAGACGAGGTGCCGTTGTCTCACGTCACACATTTTTTCTACCATACTGCTCTATAGTATACTACCATGCTGCTCATGCGACGTTATTTTTGGCTCTTTGCGTATTTTATTTTATTGTATTGTCTTGCATTTTATCTCTCTCTCTCTCTCTGTCGGTCTTTGTGTTGCTGGGTCAGGAATGTGTGCAGGAGTTTGTCGATGAGCTGGTGCAGCTGGCAGCGAATGCCGTGCAGCTTACAGATGCGGCAACAGCTTTGACGGTACAGTGCAATGGCAATGGCTCGCGTGCAAAGGACGATATTCATCAGATGGTTGACCAAGGAGAAGAGCTCAAGGCCTCGGCGCCGACTTTCGTGCCTCGTCAGTTGCTGTCACCAGCTGTGGCTGAGTTTCACCCGACAACGACGAGACTCGAAGCTGGTTCTGGTCGAGACGTACAGACGATGCCGTTGTCGCTGTCGCCAATCGATGCGTCAACGACTCGTTTGCAGAGCAGAAAGGTCGATGAGAAGACTGGTACGGACGACGGGGAGCAAGTGGACGATGAGCAGGACGGTGATGACGATGCGATGCAGAATGAAGACAGTTTCTTTTGGTCTGTGGCCTACGAGGTAAGACAACGCACGTGCTGTTGTCGGACGGCGCTCCGTTTGCGTTTTCTGAATCGGGAGACGCTGGGTTTCGATTTGCAATTGTTGCAGAGCATGTAGATCATGTGGGTGGGTGGATATCGAGTACTAAGGTTGTTGTCTATCTTTTTGTCGGTTGATGCTGCTTAGTTAGTGAGCCACTTGCAACTGAAGTTCCAGGATATCGATCCCGATCGAATGTGCGAGCTCTTGCGGCTTGTTGGACTGGATGTGGACAAGGCTCATGCCGTACTAAAGGTGACGATTGAGCGTGAGTCGGTCGGACCCAGTCAAGTGTGCCGCCACTACATGCAAGGTGACTGTCGCCGCGCAGATTGCATGGTGCGTCTGTCACCTCCATGATGAGACGGGATCGCAGTGTGGAAGTGGCTCACAAAAACTTACGGGGTGTCTCCTTGTTGTGGCTCGTGCTGGCTTCCTGTTGGTGCAGTTTCTGCACGACACGGACTCGATCACGTGTCGCTTCTGGCTGCGTGGCACGTGTTTGCAAGCAGAGCACTGCGTTTTCGCCCACGATTTTTGTGAATACTATTCCATGGACGAGGATGCACTGGGCAGGCGCGACTACGATAGCGAAGACGAATCGGACCAGAGTAGCGCATTCCTGGACATTCAAGCGGAAGACATGTTCCCGTCTCTCCAGAGCGTCTCGAAAGCTCCTTTTGCTGCGCGACAACCCCAAGGAAATGGTGACACCATGTCATCCGACTTTGCCATCGATGCGTACCCGTCGACGAGCGATGTCGTGGCGAATCTCACCATGAACTTTGCTCGCGCTGTATCACTACAACCAAGACACGCTGGGGTCAATCCTGGGTCGGGCAATGGTAGCAATGGCATGCATTCGAAGCGACAACTGCCGCCTCCACCTTCCACGCACCGCCTGCTATACCACAAGGCTGGGAGCAGTGAAGGCATTGGGACCAAGTGGCTCTCAACAGGCGAAGCCGTGGCGACACAGTATCTGAAGCTGCGTGAACAGGCCTATGGAATGGCTTGCGCGCGCAACAAATGCTTCATGGGTGCCACACAGGCGTATCGAAGGTACGGTGGGACGCTACCGTGAATGGGTATGCCCTCCTCACATCACTGTCGTCCTGTGCTTGTGTTGACAGCGGTAATAAAGCGCTGGCTAGAGGACTGTCAAGGCAAGGGCGCGAGTACAATACCAAGATGAAGCACCTTCACTTTTTGGCCGCGTCCGAGATTTTCGAGTCGCGGAATCCGCCGAGCCAGTTGTACATGGATCGAATGATGGACCTCCATGGACTCCACGTCGCCGAGGCTGTCGAATTTCTATCCCAAATGTTGCCCAAGTTAGCAGATGAAGGCGTGGACAGCATCTACTTAGTCACAGGCTCCGGGCACCATTCCAAGGGACCTGACGGCAACGCGCGTCTACTACCAGCAGTCGAGCGCTTTTTAGTCGGTGAGGGCTACCAGTTTTCACGCGTGGCTGACGGCGCCGGGTTTGTGGGAATGCTGCTTGTAGATCTGCAGTGGTAATACTAATACTCGTGCTGTAGCACAAAATCAAGCAACACTAAAAAGCAGGAGCATCAGCGTGTCACGTCAAGAGAAGCAGAAAGCACGTGGGCGCAACCCTCGTTCCGAATTAAAAAAGGGTTCATTGCAGAGTCAGGTCATCTACCAGCCGTGACCACCTCCAAGCAAGCAAGCAAGCAGCAACTCACCTACCGCCATTGCTCAGCTCGAGTGCACCCACCAGCTTGCAGCTTCTGTGCTCAGTAGCCACGCGCATAGTCGTGCATGTCCTTGACGTCCTCGTGCACCACGTGTTTGAAGCCATCTGGCTTGAACAGGAACACGTTGCAGAAGCCACCACTGTACGCATCTCGGTGCGTCGCGTGGTAAATCGCGCGTTTCCCGAGCTCGACCGCCTCGTCGTCCGTCAAGTCCCAGCGCCAGTTCGTGTCCAGCACGCCATAGGCGTACGTGGAGCCCGAGCCGACACTGAACTTGGGCACGGTCTTGCTCGCTGGGATGCGAGAGCCCTCGTCGTCGACGTAATACAGCACTGGCTCGCCACTGTCGTAGCCCATCATCATCATGCCCAGCGACATGCCATAGCGTTTGTAGTAGTTGCACGTGTTGGCAATCAGCTTGGAAGCTGCGCGGACGGAAATGCGCTGGCGGTTCCGTAATTCGTAGAGACGACATTGGACCGCTAAATTGCGCTGCCAAAACTGACAGTCTGCAGCGCCGCCGGCCAATGTTGCTAGAATGTAGTCGTTAATGGGATTCACTTTCTTGACTTGCTGCGACGCAATGAACGGGCCCATGGTCGAGCGCGAGTCCACGGCCACGACAATGCCGCCGTCGTAGATGAACGCCAGGGTCGTCGTGCCTTTGGCGAACTGCAGCGCCTGCTCGTTGTCCTCCGTGTACTTGACCTGGAAGTGCGCGCGCGAGTACGCAGCGGGGTCGGCGACAGGCGGCAGTAGAAATCCCGCAGCCAAGGCGTCAGGCGAGTGCATGTGAGCGCGCAAGTCGTCGGTAGGTGCCACGTGCATGTCGGGCATGGCGCCGCCGTAGTTGACGGAGGTGCCGCGACTGCCGGCGCGCAGGAAGTTGAGATTCACGACGGGGGCGCTCATTTGAGAGGGATAGTCGAGGGAGGAGTGAGGACAAGGTGGATGCGATCCAGACGAGGAAGACGGAGGAGGAGAGTTTGGGGGCGTGAGGTGACGCGAAGGTATGGCTTGAGAGGGTCCTTGGATAGGGTGAGAAATGAACGTGGGAGTAGGAGGCGTGGCGGACAAGACCGGGGCAACGGTTGGTATTTGGTGTGGTACGAGTTTTAGCGAGGTGTTGGCAGGGTGACGGATTCGTGACGTGACTCTGAACGATGGAGCGTGATTGCGAAGTCATTATTTTGGTTGCCGGCGATTTTTTACTGGCACGTGTAGTTGACCTCGGTGTGGTTTGGTATAGTAGAGCGAGTAAGGATGTCTTTCGCTGGAATGTGGCATGCAAGTCTTCTAGATACATAGCGTTCATGACCTTTTGTTTTAGGATTCAATTGATGTTTGTCTGATTAGTTGTCAATGATCTAGTACCGACGGGAAGTGATGTTGAGAATGAACGCTATGCTTTTTCTCCTGCGGATGGTCTCGCTCGACCACCGATCAGATCGGTACTGACGTTGAATTGTAGTACAATAGTAGTATTCGCGAGATCGTTACGTAGCGAATGGCTGCTCGGCAAATTGAAGATAGTCGTGTTAGCAAGAGGTGGCGTCCAAACTACTACAAAACTGTGTAGACGACGTAAGGCACTCGATCAAATGCGCACCATCTGGGACTGTAACGGACGCCTTCTTCGACTACAGGTCGGTGTGCCTGCCACTCCACAGTATGTTAGCGACTTTGGCGTATGAGGACGTCCCAGGTGCGTCTTTGTCGCAGCGCGGATCTAATTTTTGTTAGAATCTCGACCGATCGTGTACACTCGTCCAACGGAAAAGGATCAATGGCGTGAATAAAAGTAAATGTGAGGTCAGTTGCCACCTGCAGTGTAACAAGACAAGTGTATGACAAGGATTAATTCGGTCAGAAAATGGCTTGACAGCATGTACGCTAGAAAGGTCTTGTTAGAATCCGCGACGTGTATAATGCGTGCCTTTAGCTTATGGCATCAAGTGAGTGTCGATTGCCGTAACGGTGGATGATGTACATTGTGTCGTTGACATCGACTCTCTTTTCTGAGCAGACGTTTTTCGACTGTCAGTCGTACAGTGCAACAGCACCGCTACGTTTCGCTCGAAGCGTTATCAGCTTGACCCCTATCTCGTCCAGATACTTGACAAGCCGCAGGCCTCACAACAAACAGCCTCCGTGCGTTTTGATATACGTAACCTTTCATTACGTTCGGACACAGCAACGATGTACCGCTCAAATTGGGTTGTCAATTGACTTGTACATATTTTCGTGACGGACCACTGAAGTCATGATTGTAATTGCAATGATCCGCCATTTACATGAATGAATAGACCCTGTCGGCCTAGCAGATTGAATGTACGATCGGAAAGAAAATCTACAGTACAGTCACTTGTCCGGCCACCCGTAGCATCGTCCGAAGATAAGAATTAGGCGCGTACGGTTGCAGCATGTCGCTATACGACGTGCATCATTCTCGAATGAACTCCAACACCAGCACGTAACACGTTTTCAATAAACTGGCCTTTTATCTATAATTTACCTTCATCTATAACATAGATGACGATTTAAATGTGTGGACTAGTCAATGTAATTCAAGCTTTAATCTGCTCTCCTTTACAAGTCTAATCTCCACCTTTTGTGCTGCTCTCCCTCACGTATTAGCGCGAGAATCGATGTACTGGACAACGACCTCGTCTGCAATGTGTGAGCTGCAACCTACAAGACAAGCTCTTCGATGGCGGATGCTACGTGCGCTTGAGGGGCTGGATTCGGTTTGTGTGGTGCGCGACGTTGACACGCCATCTACATTATGGTGGGTGCTCCAAGGAGCCGATATCGTATATGCATATTATGTTTCTGTGGTCTGTTACCCTGTACGCTAACTGGCCGAGAATAGACCGTCACCCGCATCGGAGATAAGCTTGGACCGGTCAACGCAAGAGTCGATGAATGTGGAGGTGCAGGCTGGCGCTGTCTCTATCAGCCAGCAGCTCCAAGAGTGTCGCCCAATCGTGCTGGAGCACGTCGAACTAGCCATGTAGACGCCGATGGCAAATTCATGCAAGCCACTGTGTCGTAAGGTTGCCTGACCCGAATCAAATGTGTTACACCCACGGAAGCGGTGCTACCGCAGTGGTCGACACTACCGGGTGCACGCTGTCGTCCGACCAGGAACGAGGACTCGTGGTCGACTCGACGGCTGCTGTGACGTGGCTCACCCTGAACGAGATCCAAGTGGTTGGCAGAGTCTGTGCATATTCACCACGTACTCATTGCCGAGCTGACTTGACGAGCTGTTTGGAAGCTCACAATTTATTTTGCCGGAATTTGCAGCAGTAGCTTTGCGCTGTACAGACTTGAGTATGGCAAGAATTGTACGATAGTTTCTACAAGACCAAGCAGCAATCAGAAGCATCTCTAGCGGGTGGGGCTCATCGAAGCAGTATTAAAGTATTACGACTCTGTGCGTTACATCCGCCTCAGTGACGTTTGAGCACCTGTGTGCTCGATCAGGTCCGATAAGACAAAGTAGTGCTGTACGCGGGTCAGCTCGTCACTATACCAACCCTACAATACGACGGACACAAGCTCGACGTCCTAGCTTCCTATTTATTGCACTCTCGTCCATTGTGTGGATTCGACAGTGCGTAACTAGCTTCTTTTTTAGGACCCAGCACGAGACTTTGCACGAGGATGATGGTGGCATCCACTGGCACTCACTACCAGAGCTCATCATGTACTTTAAAAAGATCGACAGACGTCCAAGATCTTTGGGACGCACCCGCAACTACACCAGTTTCCATAGTCAGTCCCGTACGCAGCATCATATCCCTTCAGTTCTACCGAAGTGTTTCCCGATACCTGTGAGTTTTTGGGTAGGCTGAATTCAGAGACAAGAGAGCATCAGCACGCTGCGCTTCGGCAAACGCCGGGGCAAGCTTGAGACCATCGTAATTGCTCCACCGACTATCAAGTTTGGACGGAGCATCGGCTTGAAAATCGGCAACTTATCTTGTTCATGCCAAGATGAACGAGAGCAGCGGTTGCAGAAAGATACCAGCCAGTCGAAGGTGCGTGGGTACGATGGACCACTAATTTATGGAAAAGTCCGCACGACGCAGCACTCTGGGAACAACTAGTCGAGCAATGCACCAGAGAGCGGGCGTCAGGATGATGTCGAAGCGGCCAAACGCGAACGGCTGAGTTCGGCTCATGATATGGAACATCCTCGCACTGTATACTAGACCAAGAATGAAGCTGACAGGAATGTAGCTGTCTACCGAGCAGCCACGTATAGTGCCATGCTGTATACCTCTATCGAGCGAGTTGCTAGAGTGTGATCGCACAGTGTCACCCGTCTCCGCACGTACATCTGCTGAATCCCACGACCGTCGACATCCCCGGTCCGACTATTTTACAGATCTCGGTCATCATTAAGAACGTCTAAATCAACAAATCCAAAATCGAACTCCCTCTCTCTGCTCAAATCTAGTGTCGTTTCAAACAGTCGTTGCGTACCTCGCTTCGTTTCTATCGACACAACGACCGCAGCGCGTGCAACCAACGTGTGAGCATCGATGTTTGGTACCCGCATAGAAATCGCACTTCATCCGACCGTTTCTAACGCGATCCTTCGCCCGAGGCCACTCACTCCATTCTCCGCGATTGCGTCCCTCTCCCTCCACTCCTTTTGACGCCGGCCACCGGATCGGATTCGCTTCACTTGGCTCGCAGCATGAGCTACAGCGGAGGCGGCAGCAGCAGCAGCTACGGAGACCAGCGCGGGGGATACGGGGCACGGGGCAGTGGCGAGCACGGTCGGGGGTACGAGGACGGCAGTCGTCCCGACAGCAGCAGCAGCAACAGTCGAGGTTACACGGACCACCGGGGAGGAGGGTACAGTGGCGGGGTAGGGTACAGTGGCGACCGCAGTGCAGGGTACGTTGAGGAACGCGGGGTAGGGTACGATCAGCGAGGGGGGTACGATCGCAGTTCCCGGTCGTCCGGGGGGTACGACGAGTACCGTCAAGGGGGGTACGGGGTCTCAACATCTGGAACCAGGGGGTACAACGCGCTTCCTCCAGGGGGTTACAGCAGTAGGGGGTACGACGACCGCAGCCGAGGTGATTCGTATGCCAGTCGGGGTTACGAGGCGTCGGCCTATGACGATCGCAGAGGACACGGCAGCTCGTCGTATGCGTCGTATGGCAGTAGTTCGGTAGGGTACGACAGCCGCGGGGGGTACGGTGCTGTATCCTCTGGGGGGTACGATCAAGCTCGCAGTGGGTACAGCGATCGGGGAAGCTACAAAGGCGAGGAAGGCAGCTACGGCGCTGGAGGGAGCTCGCGTGGGTACGCTGGTGGTTACGATGACCGTGGGTACGGAAGTGCAGCAGGCGGGGATCGAGGTTACGGAAGCGCAGCAGGAGGTGATCGGGGGTACGGAGGCGCAGCAGGAAGTGATCGAGGGTACGGAGGTCGCAGTGATCGCGGCTATGGGGACGCCAGTGGTGGCAGCCGCAGTGAGCGCGGCTATGGAGATGCCAGTGGAGGAGTGAAAGACGAACGGGGGTACAGCGGTAGTACTGATCGGGGGTACGGCGGTGCTGTAGACCGTAGAGGAGATCGAGGAGGAGACCGCGGAGGAGACCGCGGAGCAGACCGTGGGTATGGACGCCGTAGTAGTGCTTCGGGTGACGACCGCCGTGGAGGAGATCGTGGGGCAGGTGATCGTGGGACAGGTGATCGTGGGACAGGTGATCGTGGTTATGGGAATGGTGGCCGAGGCGGCGGCCGCTTTGGTGGTGGAGGGGGTCGCGGTGGTGGACGCGGCGAGTCTGGCCCTGGTGTGGGCACGGTGAGTGGCTCCGGGTACGAAACAATTGGCGATGCTGTGGCTGATCCTCGTCTTGAGGACAGCTGGAGTGGCCGTGCTGGAGTGCGTGAGGTCAGTGCTGAGGACCCGGATCTGCAGCAGGAATTTCTCATTTGTCGACGCCCGGGTTTCGCCACAGGTGGCAAGTCAGTCCAGCTGCAGGTAAACTACTTTGGTGTGTCGTTGGAGTCAACTCCAGCTGAGATTTTCAAGTACCACGTGGATGTTGAGCGCTCCCCTGACCAGGTGGCGGATTCGAAGTATGGTCCGTCCGACAATGATGCAGAGAAAACTGAGACTTCGGGGGAGAAGCCCAAGCTAGACAGTAAGGATGTGAAGGACGGCGACAACAACAAAGACGTTGAAATGAGCGATGCCTCAGCGCCTCCTAAGCGTGAGGAGCGACCTCTCCCGCGTTCTTTAGTGCGAAACGTGATTAATGCTGCCCTGAGGCAGTATGAGGCTGAATTTGGAGGAGTTCGTGTCGTTCACGACGGGATGTCTGCTATGTACGTACCTTCTATGCTGCCATGGGACGCACACTCGAAGACCTTCGCCGATGTTAATCCGGATGGCCCCAGCCCGACACCGGCACCCGCACCTGTGGCTAGTGAGGGTGACGCACCCCGCCGTCCTTTCAGGGGCCCGCGGACATTTGTGGTGAATATCAAGCTCGCCGAGACGATTTCGACGAGCTCCCTAACCGATTATTACTCGAACCCGGACGTAAACATCATGCCAGTTCTGCAGGCCTTGGACGTGGCTGCGCGACACTTGGGGGCGCAGCGTTTGATAACTGTGGGTCGCAACTTTTTCTCGATGAAGAAAACATTTCCTCTGAAGGGTGGTAAAGAACTGTGCTGGGGCTACCACCAGGCCATTCGCGTTGCCGACCGCAAGTTGCTTATGAATGTGGATCAGGCTGCCACAGTATTTTATGCGCCAAAAGAGCTAATGGAACTCGTGCTGCCTGCGCTGAACGCGCGTTCGGTCAACGACGTTCGTTCTTTATCAGAGCGCGACAGTAAAAATCTGGCACGAGCTTTGCGCAAGATTGAAGTCGTGCCTACCCACCGTAAGGACCGAAAACGTGCAATCTTCGGAATCAGCGCACTTCCAGCCAACGAAACTATCGTGAACATCAAGGGTGAATCGATGTCCATCGCTGACTATTTCGGCAAGAGATACAACGTGAATTTACGATACCCACATTTGCCGCTGGTGAACGTTGGCAGTAAACGACCGGGCAAGGAAAACTGGCTGCCGATTGAGTTATGTGAGGTGGCACCAGGGCAGCGGTGTGCGAATATAAACGAGCTAGATACTGCGGAAATCATTCGGCAGACGAGTCAGCCTCCACGCGCTCGTCAAGAAACTATTATGGACCAAGTGCGCCAAGCAGGATTTGAGAACGACCCGTACTTGGCTGCTTTTGGTATCAAGGTGGAACAGCGTCTCGAAACGGCAAATGCTCGTGTAATGGATCCACCTGACGTGCAGTATGCGAACGTGTCTGAGCGGCCGTCTGGAGGCCAATGGAATTTACGAGACAAGCGCTTTGTGGATGGTGCTACAATGCGCAACTGGGGAGTAGTCGTCACTGCCAACGTCGGAGAGCGTGATGTCCAGAGTTTCATTCGAACCTTGGTTGATATGGCGGGCAAGAGTGGCTTAACGATTGAAGACAGCAAGCCGCATACGATTCACATTGACCAGCACCGTGGTGCGCAAGTCGAAGAGCTAATGAAACTATGTTTTCAGGAGATGGAGGGGCGCAACAAAGGCCCTCCGCAACTCATTATGGTGATCAAGCAGGACAAAAGCGTTGGATCTTACGGCGACATTAAGCGTATGTCCGACACGGTACTGGGAATTCCCAGTCAGTGCATCGTGTCGCAGAATGTGCGCAGTGCGAAGCCACAGTACTGCGCTAACGTCTGTCTGAAGATCAACATGAAGCTGAGCGGAAAGAATTCGATCTTGCGGGAGTCGTTACCCTTGGTGAGTGATGCCCCGACAATCATTATTGGCGCTGATGTGGAGCACCCTCGTTCGGGCATGGGCTCACGACCGTCTATCGCTTCTGTGGTCGCTTCTCTGGATCGTTACTCAGCAAAGTACGTTGCTCGTGTCGCTGCGCAGAAGGCTTCTAGTGGCATTCAGCTTCTGCCACATATGCTGCGTGACCTCTTTTTGGCGTATTACCGGAGTACTAGTCGAAAGCCAGAGCATGTCATCTACTATCGTGATGGTGTGAGCGAGGGCCAGTACTATGCTATCTTGCAGACAGAGATGCGTGCACTTCGGAAGGCGTTCAAGATGATCTCGGACGATTACAACCCACCCGTGACATTCATCATCGTGAACAAGCGCCACCATATGCGTGCTTTTCCTGTAAACCCGCGCGAAGCCGATCGGAAGGGTAATGTGGTTCCCGGAACGGTGATTGATTCTGGAATCGTGGATTCGCACCGCTTCGACTTCTTTTTGTACGGCCACAGCGGCATTCAAGGTACAAGCGTCCCCTGTCACTACACTGTTTTGCACGACGAGAACAAAATGTCGGCAGAAGACGTGCAGCGTCTCACGTACCATCTCGGATACACGTTTGCGCGATGCACTCGGTCGGTGTCGTTCGCCACGCCCGCTTACTACGCGCATTTGGCCGCTGGTCGTGCGCGCTTTTTCCTAAACGAAAGCTCTGATGGCGCTTCTACTGTGGGATCGCTCAACTCGAGCTCATCCAATTTCGACTTCACGGCGCTGCACAACGACCTCAAGAATTGCATGTTTTTCATTTAGTGGCAAGTGAAGTTTGATGTCTGCGTTTGAAAGTTGAGGGATTGACGCTAATATTGATGAACGTGCCAACAATCTGACATCTACACTGGAGGATGACATCGATTCGCAGGCGACGTGAAGAGCTGGCGGAAGAACGACTGGGTCGCATCTGTGAGATAGACAAAGGCTTAAGAGTGCGATTTTTGCAAATCTGCATTTGCTATGGATAGCAGTAGCTAAGGGTAACACGGTCTTGCTGTGCTGTGATTGAAAGGTAGTTGTGGTTCAACCCACTGGTGCAAGCACGCACAGAGCACACCTTCACCAGGCCGATCGATACCTTTGGTTGTAATTCTTCGAGAAATAACCGATTCGAACGCTGGGCATCCCATGATTGTGGGTCTTGATGGAAAACGGTTTGACGTCAGTAGGCAAAGCTGTAATTGTTACGCTGTTGCTTTCGTTCCTGACACAGAAGACAGGAGTTGGAAGTGCGTGGCAGTATCGACTAGAAACGTTCATGCAGGCTTATTAAAATGACTGTAAAAAGGCTGGCGATGCAGGTAAAATGTTTGAATCCATGCTACGATTGGTACTGCGATCAATGATGTCGTGCATAGCTTTGGTAAAAGAATCGCCATTGCAGGACCGAAAGCGAGTGGACGCTGCGTTTATGGGCAGCAAGGAGCAAAATCATGTCGACCAAATACTGAGATCAGCATAGAGCATGAAAGCATTTCGGTGAGGTGAAGTGTGTTCCTGAGATTAGGTTGGAGATTGTCTGTAGCCGATCTTGCTGGAAAGAAAAATGGCGTGTTTGTGATATAAAATCGGGTCTTGTCGTTCCTGATGAGCAGCGTATTGGAAGACTTGCCTAAACTTCTGCAGTATATTGGATGTTCAAGAATTGCTGATCTGCAGTACAAACGTCATTCATGGAAACATTCTCTCTCGTCATCATCGTGCAATAGCGATGCTACTTTACAGTGAAATGAATAGCTTTGTGACAAGTTCATGAAGACTTTGTTCGCACGAAGGTGTCACTCACTTACCGAAGAGAACGCGGGTTTGGTCGCGAGACAATGTAGTCACAGTGTTCCATGCAAGAGTGTGCATGAGCCGCAACCTATGCAAAGTCGGGTAAGAGGCCACATTTACGAGATTGGCACAGTTCACTGCGAAACACCTCATTACGTGCAGTCGATGACAGACAGAGGAGGTGTAACGGGGCACTTTTGTTCGGGGTGCCACGAAACTTCTCGTACACTAGTACGTACAGAGGAAGCTAATCTACTCAACAGCATTGTTGAGTAGAGGGTAAAAAGAGAACTGTATTTAATATAGTTAAGCTATGAATATAACTTCATTTTATCTAACTATGTTAAACTACGTCGTCGTATGACGACAACCTTTTCACCACTCATTGCGCGCGTCTAGCAGCGATTGGTAGTAATCTATGGTTGATATGTCTTTTATCAACCAATCTTGGAGCAGCGCAAGAATTTTTTTCGAAAAGGGGATAATATTCCTTCAAAATTAGCCACTTCAAATAAAATTGGTAGGGAATTGTCATGCTAGACAATATTCCAATTGACGCCGTTTGGTGTCAATGTCATGTAACGGACTACCCCGTTACATCACCCCCCCTTTACCATCGATCACCCGAAATTAAATGAATTGAGTAATACAGGATAACCACCGTTTTTGGATCACTCTGGGAACGGGAGCACTTGTTGGTCAAATTCCATTCATTTTCCATTCCAATGCAAGGATTACAAATCCATGCGAGTTGCTACTGAAGCATAAAAAAGGCGGCTGCATGCATGCGTGAAACCGGAGAGAGTACTCCTCACGCCTCAAAAGCAGGTGATTCGTCGCCTGTTGTTGTGAACAGTCCACGTGGTGAGTCTCCACGTGCGACAGGAACATCCGCTGCCTCGGCAGCGGGTACTGTAACGGGGCACCCTGAAGCTTGTACTGATGACAGTACAAGCTACTTATTCTGATGACAGAATGAGGCGGTGCCGCGTAACTTCACGTACACTCGTATGTGCAGAGGAAGACGGTAAGAAGAAGCGAGTACTTGATGAAAGTAAAAAGTAGAACTGTATTTATAATAGTTAATGTCTGCAATAAATCACTATTTATCTTCATCTAACTATGTCTGAATAAAAATGTGCATATCAACTATCTGCTCACCACTCATTGCGTGCGTCTGTTGTGGCGCGTCTTCGTTGGTTGATATAATGTCCTATGTCAACCAATTAGAAACTACTCGTAAGTGCTGCAGAATATTGTCCTTACGACAATATTCTGTGAACATAACTCTTATCGTTATATTCTATTAGCAATTTCTTAAAAATTGTTATGTAACGGTTCACCCCGTTACAATCATCGCCCGACGGCTCTTCTGTAACAGCGACTGCAAGCTAGTTACCAAGAAAAGCAAGCTAGTTACCAAGAATTTTTCAATTCGGGTTCTTCCATTGCTGTCGCCAATCGTTCTGCAGGCTCAAGCTGGTTTTGTTCTGAAGTGGTCGATCCATACTGCTTTTACCTGGACAGCGTTCTACATGGATCCATTGTTCTCCTTCTAATTTTTTCCAAGGCTTAAGACACTTTGCAACGTCTATATCCACTTTCGTTGCTGACTTAGCTTGGATTTTCACCCCTTTTGTATCAGTGGTGGCAGCTTCAAACCGCGACACGACCTGTCGATTTTTTTTGAATGAGTACCGCTCGCGATGACGTGACGTGACGTTTCGAATGCGGCAAGGGTGCCCCGTTGAGCCACTTTCTTTATTCTCACCCTCGGTAGTGTCTATCAATCCCTACGAGCGAGGGGGGATTCGGAGGATGCCATTTATAACTGGAGGGCTGATAATTAAATTTAGAGTTTCGGGCTATGCCGATGATGCTGTTGTCTACCTTCGCAATCGGTCTGCAAAAATACCATTTATCACTATTCTTGATGATTTCGCTCAAGTGTTGGATCTCCGGACGAAGCAGTCGAAATCAATAGTGATTGAGCTGAATCCTCGCGGCTCAGCGCTACATCTTAGCACACATGGTCTCAATTTGCAGTCTCCTGGAGGCTCTTGCAGGCATCTTGGCATTCTGGTGGGACAATAGAATGCGATGGTCGATAACTGAAACAAGTGCAAACGGTCTCTCTGGGAAGACTTGTCTTAGCCCGAGAGAAGACTCACACGGTGGAACAACGTGCTCAGCTCGTTAGCGCTTTCGCGGTTCCCAGAAATCGACTTTTTAGCGCGGCATTTTCGGTCTCCTTTCGCAGTGATTATTCATCTGCACAGCTTAATTTTGGATTTGAATGGAGTGTCCGTGACATTTAGCGCGCACGACCCTGGTTCCCTTCCGAGGTAGATACTTTACCAATTCGTCAGGGGGGACTTGCGGTGCCTTGTATTTAGACGTAATTGATGACTATGTAGGCAACAGCAGCTCAGCAATGAGCAGATACTACTACATTTCGCCCTGCTTCTAGTGCTTACTTGACCACTTGCGCTACTAGGTGTTCCGCGCTTGGTGATATCGGGTAAACGCAACGAATCTTTCGCACCGCAACCATCCTTGATGGTGCAACGATCCGAATGGTCAACCCATTGTGATCCGCAGCCGGTATTGGGACGAATTACTCGATGCGTCGAATCCAGCTTTCATTCTGGGTGCTAATGTACCATCGATCAAGACGGGAGATGGCTTGACTACCATCAGGTAATCAATAAAAATGCGTGAGCTTTTTTAGCATGAAACTCGAGGCAATTTCTTTCATTCTCTGCTCGGTCTATCTTCTCACTGAGCACTTCAACTAAACCGTTATGAGCTTGTAGCAGCCGGAGGGTAGGAGAGTCATGCCTTCTCCAAAGGACTTAATAGGAGCGGTCGAGTTGTGTATCCAGAGTGCAGTTAAAGTCTCCTCCAGGTATGCCCGGGCCCTTATGTAGAGAAAGGACTGACGTAAGAGTCTCAAAAAGGACCTCACGCTCACTTATAATTGATGGAGCATACACATTTACAATGACATATTCATCACCATGATAGACAAACCGAGCCGCCATCCAGTACTCCGTCCAACAATCTTCTCGCCACGGAAAATTTCGTGATGGAGGAATATGAATAAGATTTCCCCCTCGCCGTGTCTCTGTCACAGTCCACATTGTCAGTCCACATTAACCCTCCGCATTACACCCCCATGTTGTACAGTAAAGCTTGTCCAGCGATTGTGCTTCGCCATTGAACACTCAAGTCTCTTGTAGCATTACTATATTGGTCGATCTGCGGTCCCCGCGATGTCGAAATTGCGAAAACCATTCTGCGCAACACGCCGAGAACTTAAGAAAGCCTGCAACATTCTGCATAAATAAACCAGCGGAGTTCTCGAGAGCTGGGCCGCGGCGGGAAATCCTGTCTGTAGAAAATGTCGCAGCCGCGCTGTTGACGACACCGATGTCAGTCGATCCAGTCCCGTCTTTGAAGACGCTAGCATGACGTGTATGACCTTCCGTCTGCGACAATGACCTTGACGACACAAAATCATCGCGTGAGGTGCCCTTAGTCTTGATGGTGCTGCCCTCGTTCCCGCTTGGTAGGAGAGTATGAACAGGATGCCAATCAGCTGGAGTGCTGAGGAATGTAAGCTCATGATGATCTCGTTTGCACTTGTGCAAAGGCAGTTAGAAGTAAAAGTGAAGACATTGTGTGTCAAGAGCTTACTTTCTTCAATACGACCATATGCATGACTAGAAACGAAAACTGCGACTTGACCATGTCTAATCTCATGTGGTGACCGTTTCTCCCTGTCCCATGTGACATCCTGTCACATGACGTCCGTCTCTCTTGGTCCCATGTGTCGTCCAGTCACATAGAGCCCATCTATTCCGCCCCATCTGTCATTTGGAACATTATCAGCCAATCAGGTGAATTTGAACTTACCCGTACTAGGTCTTGCACTTGACATGCAGAACTTTCTTGACCTGTCAGAAAGAGTGTACTCTAACACTCCTCCTCGACGTCACCCTGAATGGCCTTTAACTTAAACATCTCGCGTAAGTCCACAATCCGCGGCGCCGGCAGTGCCTTAGTCAGTAGTTCTGCAATCATGTTTTCAGATTCGACATAACTGGGCTTGACCATCTTGGCATGAGCGTAGGGCAGGTGAACTTGAAACGAATGTAAACAAGCTTCGCGCTTGACATGCGCTTCTCGCTTTCCAGTTGCTTGATGAAAGCTTGGTTGTCCATCCACATCGACATGATCTCGACGACCTTCATGTTTAGCTCGCCGAATAGTTTCTTCAGCCCTAATAGCTTACATCCTGGCCTGCGACGCCGCAATGATCTCAGCTTCCATGGTGCTCAGGGAGACGCCAGTCTGCCTCTTGCACGCCCATGGAATCACTGCTCCATCTATTAATACCACGCACCATGAGACCGACTTGTCTGCCGCAAAGTCTACGTCACTCCAGCTCTCGATCTTGATTGGATCCAGTGACTTGATTGAACTATCGATAAACAACTTTAACGTCTTTGTTCCTTTCAGAGATCTTGCAATACGCTAGCCATCTTCCGGTCCTTCATGCTCGGTTTGTGCGTCTGCCTTGTCATACGATGTACCGCATAGCTGATGACCGGTCGTGTACAGCGCGCAACTCAAAGTAAACTCCCGATTAGTGACTGGAAAGCCTTAACGCTTGCATGTCCAACTCCAGCTGCCGAAAAATAGTATTTGGTGGCTTCAGGGTCTACCTCATTGCAGTCTTCGTCAATAGGATCTCGAACACCATTCGCCGACTCCAGTCCATGGTCCTTCATCAGCACGTCTATCATCACCTTTCGTCCAGCATGTATCCACAATTGTCATCCAAAAGAATCCTTTAGCCCAAAAACTTATTAACGACGCCTAATTCCTTGATCTCGAGGCACAACATGCTCTTGAAAAACTGCTCCACAGCTTCACTTAAGGTACGTATGTCCAAAAGGTGGTCGACGTACACCTAAACGATCGTTTTGGCCACGCCGATATTCTTAACGTGTAGGCACACGTCTGTCGTACACTGGCTGAAACCGAGCCTAACCAACTTCGAGTGTAACAGTTGACTCCACGAACGTCCGGCTTGCTTCAACCCGAATAGGGACTTCTTTAAAATCAAAGCAAGTTTTCTTAGGTGCTTGACTACATTTTTATTTTAAGATACATTTACTCACTTGCATCCCGCTCGGCATTTTCATATAAATGTTGAGATGTTTTTCCTTCTCTGCCTTGACGTAGGCGTTTTGGGACGTCACCGTGGCGTGCTGATAAGTTCCATCGACGTGACAGCACCAAAATGAAATTTACAGTGCCAAGCTCCATGGCTGCAGCAAAAGTTAGTGTGTAGTCGACCTGGAGTAGCTGATCGTTTCCGCATACTACCAGTCTAGCCTTCAACCGCTCCATATTTTCATTGACATCGGTTGTTCGTCTAAAAAACCCACTTGTTACGTAAGACGTGTGGATTTTCGGGCGGTAAAAGCACCGTCTACACTTCAATTGACTCCAAAATAGTCAGTTCTTCGGTCATCGCTACGTACCGCTTGTCTTTTGATGGACTTCGCACAGCCTCACCGTAGTTCCTTGGGTATGGCTCGGTCACGGTGCTGACAATTTCTTGATCTTTTTCGCCCTTGGCATTATCATTCGACTCATCCGTTATCTTGCTAATCGATTTTGTCACGTTTCGGTCACGCATCCAAATGGATAACCAAATCGTTGCTGGACGTTCGTCGTGAACATCTTGGGATTCTGTATGAACTTCAAAATTATCGTGATCTTCTAGTGCTTTTCCATTTTGTATGGCGTTCAGGGTCACTATGGTCTTCACATGTTGCGTGACCACGACGACGCGCTCCTTTGGCAGGTAAACACGGTATCCCTTCATCTTATCGTTTTTTTCGATGACGATTTTCGCATTTCCACGAGCACCCAGCGATTTGTTCTCCGTGTGCAAGTGAACTGTGCACTTCGAATCATGCACCACGATGTTGCTGAGGTTAGGCTTCTTCATTGGAAGTAGCTCAACCGGTGAGACCCCACCGTCGTTCGCCTTAGTCGGACTTCGGTTAGGTATGTAAGCTGCATACTCAGCTTCATCACCCCAAAACTTCAAGGGTATTACTCTTGAAAACACCATGTTTCGCACCATGTTCATAATCGTGCGATGCATCTTTTCGGCTTTTCCATTGCTAGCCTGGTTAACACGCTCGCAAATATGGGGAGTGACACCAGTGCCTTTGCAGAACACATCCAGAGGCTTGTATTCGCCTCCCCCGTCCATGCGTAAGATGTGGATCCGGCAATTGAAACGTCGCTCGAAAACCGACAGAACATGCTTGAAAGTTATCGCGGCAACATCTTCGCCAAGAAGACCCGGCTATAGTTGGACCGATAATCGACGAAGTTGATCAGGTCATTTTTTCCGAGCCGACCGCGAGGAGTCATGTTGCCTTTAATATCATAACATGTGACCCCTCCTATCACTTCGATTGGCGTATTGGTACCACTGTCCTTGTGATATTATCGGTTCTTCGTCTGCTTGTCTTGTGCACAGGCCATGCAGGTGACACGCTTAGTATCGGTCAGTTCGATACCAGAGGCAGGGTCATGGAACATCTTGACGATAGTGTCATAGCATAGGTGACCCAAACGCCGATGGTCCGTGTTGAAGGTGTGTCTTTTTCCATCTTCATCACCATTCACGATCGCCGTGACCTCCTCCAGTGGTGAGCCATCAGCACTAAAAAAAATTCGTCGAAATGTCGTCGCATACCTTCACAATCAATACACCGTTGATGCGATCAACTTCCACGATGGATGAACCACCAGGATGAGAGACCAGAATACTCCTCCTGTCACGATATTCAAGCACGCATTTCTTCTTCCCTGACTCTTGAAGGATGTGATGTTATGTCCCAGTTACGGACGTATTTAACATCGAGAAGTCAAATGGTCTCAGTGAATCCGAGTGCTTTGACCCGGATCATTGCACTGACTTGCTTCGTGATCCGAAGAGGTCCTCCATCAGACGCTGCGATAAACATACATGATTCCAGTCAACCACGTCCTCCAGCAGGATCAAGTCATTGACCAAATGACGCTCTGACTCACTGTTTAGCACCCAGTTGGTGGTACTTTGGGTCTGATCTTTGTCCGCGTCATGGACTGTAAGGACGCATCTTTTTTTCTTTGATCTTTTAGTACAGGATGCCTTGAGGTTTCTCGTGTTTCCACAGAGGTAACATCTCCTTGAGCCTTGATATTTACGCCTTTTCTTGACTAGTTTAACTTTCTTGACGGCTTTGATTGAACCAAAGACGTTTATCACGTCACGACCGAGATGCTTGACACGGAAATCGATCTCCTTCGATTGTGCAAACTGTGTTAACTCTTCATCTTGCCCCAAGTAGTTGACTTTGTGCAAATCCAAATGGAAAAACATCATCGTGCGCATCGTCGGGTCTGCGTTGTGAACAGTGTTGTCCAAAACGAGGTTGTCTGCGTCTCCACAGGCATCGCTCACAGCAGTGAGATACAATAAATGTTCTGTCCAATTATGATGCGATGACTTGGCTGAAGTGAGCATCTGTATGCTCTGGGCAGGTTTCATCGTGATATTAAAAGTCTGAAGCAACCTTTACAGTGCATACTCCAAGGTTTGAATCTAAGACCACCAAGTTTCCACCTGCAGGCGGCAATACTTCTGCGACGCTCCAGCAAGGTGTTGACTAAGTACATCAACCTTGATGTCTTCAGGCCAAACAAAACCGCACGCGCGCTCGGAGAAGCCAACTTGACGCACGAACTCCTTGCCCCATTCTATAAAACCACTACCAATGCCATGGTAGAGTTCCTTTCCATCGAATGGCTGCAGCGCCAATTTGCGCTGACGGCCGTCAGGTAAACTCATGGGTACCTGAACTGGATGGAAAAACATCGGACCTAGTGCATCCACACCTGAGTACGGTGCCAGCGGTGCATCCGGCACTCTTAACACTGGTCCTGCGTGCATCACATAGTTACCACGGTCCTATGCGGGTGGATCGACTATGTTTCCAGCAAAATCTGGTCGTCGGGCACCGAAGTATGTGGCCGGCGAGGCATACAGTGACCGCTTGGGAAGAGGAGTACGCTCCAAAGCCTGGAGGTTGATACCATGCCCTTCCCTCAAGGCCGAACCAAAAACGCTCTACTCGGAAGAGTCCTTCCGTTCCTGGTAGACTTGTTACGAATGTGAGGATTTCATCTTGCGCATTCGTTCCGACAAATCACCGAGCATAACGAGCATCTTGTCCAGTGCCGCGGTCGCGGGCACTGCCGACTTTTTCCTACAGTGGTGATCAATGGTATTATTTTGACCATCGACCATCACAGCAGATGTAGCTCCGTGGGCCGCGCCGCCATCACGTTACTTTAGGCTCATAAACTGTGAATTCATGATGATCTCGTTTGCACTTGTGCAAAGGCAGTTAGAAGTAAAAGTGAAGACATTGTGTGTCAAGAGCTTACTTTCTTCAATACGACCATGTGCATGACTAGAAACGAAAACTGCGACTTGACCATGTCTAGTCTCATGTGGTGACCGTCTCTCCCTGTCCCATGTGACATCCTGTCACATGACGTCCGTCTCTCTTGGTCCCATGTGTCGTCCCGTCACATAGAGCCCGTCTCTTCCGCCCCATCTGTCATTTGGAACATTACCAGCCAATCAGGTGAATTTGAACTTACCTGTACGAGCCTCTCATGCGGGTATTTGATCTGCTGAGTGATTCTCTCAGATAGTAGTGCTCTTATAGCTGTTCTAGTCTTCGCCAGTGCTTAATCGAATCCGTAGTTCTCTCCCTACTACAGCCTTCTGGGACCAAGCTACGGTAATTCATCGATTGCAATGATCACGCACTCTTACGGTAATGCTGATGTCGGTCGAATAGCGTCGTATGACAGCTATTAAAGTATTGCTGTTTATGGCGTGACCAAACCAAAAAAAAAGAAGGGAAGTCAAGGCCAAGTAACTACTGTTTACTTGGTTTGCAAACACAAGAAATCTGCATGGCGATCCTCTGTTCACACGTGCTCTGCGTTGTACTGCTTGCTTATTACGATACTTCAACTAACAGCATCGCACAGTCGTGCACAGGTGCTCCTATCGAGGTGAGGTTTAAGGCTAAGAGCCACGTCAGCTATCGGTCGAAAAGTTTTGGTGCGTGCATTGTGTATGCAGATTTCTTATTTTCTACATTGTGACCAGCGTTATCCTCCGGCACAATTTTCTATTGCATTTGGACGTTTTCACCCGGCCCGGCCACCCTGCATAGAGGGAACCTATTCTGTGAAGCCATAATAATACCGGTGAAAATGTCAAAAGCCGGGTGAAACGAAATAAACTGGCGGTACCATTAAAAGCTGCTAAATGTGGTGGAAAGTGGTAATAACGCTAAATCTAGTAAAAGTGCTAACAGCTATTAAAATGTCACGCGACTTTCTACCTAACATCCCTTAGTCTCGATGAAGCACATTTAGCTTGGAAATTGTCTAGCTTCGCCGAATCTCGCATTATGTAGTATGAGCCACACCTGGCCTGTAACCAGGTGTAGCTTATGCTACATGTTGAGATACAATAGTGCGTGACCACGTGGTCTCGCCAGCTACGAGTGGCATCAACTAGTCTATCGAACTACACGATGGCTCGAACACTGCTTTGAATCTCTTCGTAGCACTGTTCTGACTGGAACTACTTGCCGCGGTTTCTCAACAATTCCGACCACCTCGCACGTATCGAAAGCGTTTAGTCCCTTTGTCAATAATGATTTGCTAGTCCTGTTCCTCCTGCACCATAACTTCGTACCGGCTGTCGAGAAGTGTAGGACTAAGTAGTCCGACCATCCATCGAGTCGATCGTCAGCAGCCGCGCCGATGCGGACAGGAGCCGAACAAAAGTCCTCAAACTACCGCCAACACGTGCTGCAATGGTATTCAGCACGGACACGAGTGTCGGGCGGATACCTCCCGCATTGGGAGAGATAAACCCAGCGCCATTCTAGGTTCCCGTCACACCTTCGCAACCAAAAGAAGTACGAAACCTACGCTGCTACGTTAGCAGCAGCATGTTGCACAACAACCCGAGCTGAACATTGACTTGACCATGCAGCAAGTCTTCGCCCAACGCTGCATGGTGTTGCAAACGCAAAGCTGCATCGCACCAGCAGTAAAGTGCGTGCATCGATGCAAGGTTCAGCGAGTACAACTCACATAAAATGACGTCAAGTAAAGCGCTGCATCGCGCTAGAGAGCGGAGAGCCCCACTGTGTGAGTCGTAGTCTTCGCCTACGTGTCTTACGTGTACCCAACGGTGACTTGTAAGCCGTTGCCTATACGCAGATGTTCACGTCGGCCACCAACGCAAGCAACAACTGCCTGCAACGAGATACATGTGCCCGTGTCAACCTACCATCACTTTGTCAAAGAACGGCGCCACTCGCTATCATCTCCCATCTGTACGGCTCAACTGTAGACACGTTTGACATGCTGCAGCATCCCTAGTAGCATACCAAGTGCACCCAATATCTACAGGTCGCGACGCAACCTGTGCAATCAATTCTCCAGCTGATCACGTGAAACGAGCACGACCCTGATCAGCTGTTTCACAAAGTCATGTGAATCGATGCAGGGATCTTCACGATATCGACTGCTAAGTCCGTCTGTAGCGTTCCAGTCACCTTAAGCAATCAAGTTGCTGCACTCGAAGGAAGAAAGAGAGCTTGACGGCATGTTGATCTGTACGAGAAGCATTCTTGTCCATGAAAAGCGTTGATACCACGTACTACGGTGATGACGTTGGTAGCGTTTCCATGCACATTGTGATGTGCTTGGTTTCAGACCAAAGCCTGGGCTGAACACACAGGCAGATGGCTGGACGCTGTCCTACTATCGTCGAGAATGTAGGCACCTCAGTACCAACTGTCCAGTCGCACGTGGCGCCGAGAGCATTGACACGACCACTAGGTCGGACGAGACTTGTCGGTCAACGGCTAATCCACGATCGGGCGACAAAGCGCAAGTCCGCCAAGATCGAAGTGTCCAGTAGGATAAGTACCATGCGCTCTTCTCAAAGATCATTATATCCATGTAAAAGCCGTTGCGGCCCTAGAAATAGCGCTCACCGTCTGGCGCTAAGATCGAGAGCAATCGTTGCAGAGCCGTCGGCGTTGAGAGCAGATGAATTCCTCGGAATCAATCTCATGTTGACGCCCCATGTGACCCACGCGCGCTCGACCGCTTTTTTCATGCACCTTGTTGCATCCTTCATTCCTCCATTTGCCTCGAGCAGCTCAAGTAGGTTGCTCTCGCCAACCAGTCAATCATGGTCAAGCTGTTTTCCTTCGTCCTCGCTGGACTAGCCTGGCCTTGCTGTTTCCATCGCACGGCATCTGCCGAGGAGCTGTGCTCCATCGCACCAGCCTCGTACTCGGGTGCCAAGACCACGTACCCACACCTTGCAACGGCAATTGAGACGATCGAGCGCTACTCGATTACTGCTTGGTACACGGACCGCCTTACAAGTACCGAGCAGTCGGCCATGCTGGCAAGTCTCACGAGTGAATGCTCCGAAGACTCGCGCATGACCATTGCTGTCTACGGTATCCCCAATAAAGACTGCAGCGCCGGTCTTTCGTCGTCGGGCTCCGTGAAAACCACGAGTGACTACCAGGCGTTCCTTTCTGGTCTAACCGCAGCGGTAGGTGACCGTAAAGTGCTCTACATTGTTGAGCCCGACGCCGCTGGCCTCCTTGCTGAAGAAGGTGGTTGCGGCAAGGCAGCTGGCTACCTCGAAAACCTTAAGATCGCCATTACTGCTCTGTCTGCGAACGCCAATGCTCAACTGTATCTGGACGTGGGGTACTGGCTGCTCGCGGACTCGAAAAAGGCTGCGGAGGTGGCAACTGTCGTCAAGGAACTAAGCACCTCGGGTGCTGTAAAAGGGGTCACGATCAATACGTCCAACTACCGTCCGACGGACGAGTGCACGACCTACTGCAGTAACTTCCAGTCGGCCATGGGGTCTACCGACATGTCGTGCATCATTGACACGTCCCGTAACCACAACAAACTCACGACAACCGACTGGTGCAATGTCAAGTCTGCCGGTATCGGCAAGCCGCCATCATCGGAGACAGGCATTGCCAACATCGACTACTTCATGTGGGTCAAGCCTCCTGGAGAGAGCGACGGTGTGTGTACGGACACTGCTTCTACAAGTGAGTCGCTGAGTGGAGTGACAGCTGGTGCCTTTTACTTGGACGCTTTCCAGACTCTGTGGGACCAAGGATACTTTGTCATCGAGGAGGGTATGGCCGCGGTCTCTGATGGCAATAGCTCATCTCCGACCAACAGCCAGCAGTTGGCTGACAACAAGACGGAAGCACAGACCGGTAATCAGACCGGATCGGGTGAGGGAAGCATGGATCATTCGTATTCGGTCGGACAGGAGTACGAGAGTTCCGTACAGACTGATGTCGGCACAGTTGCTCCAGTGGACAACACAGCATCGGAAAGCACCGCGCCGGCCAATGAGACGACACCTGTTGCCTCCCTGTCGGACACTGCTGCGTCGACGCCAGTTGTGTCCCTGTCGAGCACCGTGCCGACACCTATTACAGAATTGACGGCCAATGTGACGGCGCCTGTTGTAAACTCGTCAGCCACTACTTCGACGCCGATTGATTCGGCAACGCCACCTCCTACATCTACCACGGATCCTGCGCCAGTCCGTGCAGCATGTCACACTAAGAAGCATGTGAAAAAATTGTAGCCGCTGGCGGGGTGAACCTTGTAGTGTTGACACCATAGTGCGACCGATTGAGCGCGCAGCCATTGCTAAAATGTCTATAAAACATCAAAAAGTGCGTGTTAAACTGCGTTCGTACACGGCATCCTCGCTTGAAATGGTCAATGGACTCGTCGTGACATGAGTGGATCTCCCCGTGTGAGAGACATCACCGTCCAGTTATGGTCAGTCTTTCTCATTACACTCCGGGGTTCACCACGTCGACTGAAACTCACGAAAAAACGGCGATCCGATAGTACTGCGACCTTGTCTTCTGGTACGTCCGGTGTGCTAACCGCAATGCGTTCAGTTTCTCCTCACCGCATGAGTTGGTCTCTAGCAAGCACCGAAGTCGTTGGCAAAACGCTCCCGAATCTGTCAAGTCTCGAGCGTTTGTTAGCGTTTCGTGGCAGCTTTTGACATTTACAAACAGGAAAAGTATCAACTAGTTTTGTTGAGTGCGACTAGTAAGGACGGCAGGGCGTAGATATCTCAGCAACAAGGGGCGAGACTTGACGGATTGCTCCAGAAATGTCGCGAGCTCATTGCAATCGATAGAGCCCACCGATGTATACGACGTTACTGCGCGTGTTCTTGAGCTCTCTTCTTGTCGAGCCCAACATGCTATGAACTCATTCAGCATCTTGCCACGCACCTCACAATACCTTTCCAAACACCGTGTGAACCTTCAACTCGATGCTGAGCACTCGTCGACTAGCTGCCATCGTGTCCTATGCGGCCTTTGCCTTGTTGTCGACTTCCACCCGCCTTGTCAACGCGGAAGATCTCTGCTCCATCGTGCCGTACTCGTACACGGGTGCTAAATCGACTCACCCAGAGCTAAAGACTGCAATTGAGATGCTCGAAAACTATGCCATTGCGTCCTGGTTCACCGATCGCCAGACCCCGCAAGAGCGATCGGATCTGATGAAAGGATTGCTGAGCCAGTGCTCGGAGGACAAACGCCTTAGTATCGTGGTGTATGGGATCCCCAACAAAGACTGTGCTGCGGGCTTGTCGTCCGGGGGCAGTGTAACCAGTGCAAGTGACTATCAAGCCTTTCTGAAAGAGCTCACGGATGCTGTAGGTGACCGCAAAGTGCTCTACGTCGTCGAACCGGATGCACTTGGTCTGCTTGCTCAAGACGGAGGCTGCGGTGCAAACGCCGGGTACCTCGAGAACCTCAAAGTTGCCGTCTCGACTTTGTCGACGAACGCCAATGCTGAGCTCTACATTGACATTGGCTACTGGATGCTTGCAAACGGGCACAGCACCGGGAAAGTGGCCTCTGCAATGAAGGAGATCGCTGGCTCTGGTCGCGTCAAGGGCGTGACTATCAACACGTCCAACTACCGATCGAACGACGAGTGTGCGACGTACTGCAGCAACTTTCAGACGGCCGTAGGCTCTAGTGACATGACGTGCATCATTGACACGTCTCGTAACTACAACGGATCACCCACGTCGGACTGGTGCAATGTCCCTATGGCTGGTATCGGCAAGCCGCCTACGTCCGAAACGGGCGTCTCAAACCTGGACTACTTTATGTGGATCAAGCCGCCTGGCGAGAGCGATGGCGAGTGTGCAACTGGCGGCACGTCAGCCGGATCTTTCTACTTGGATGGTTTTAAGCTGCTGTGGGACCAAGGCTACTTTGTCCGTGAACAGGGGATGCCAAAGATTGGGGACAGCTCCTATAGCGTCATTCAAGCACCCGCACCGTCAGGTGATAGCAGCCCCACTCAAGATACTTCAAACCAGACGACAGCGATGGCAACTGAAGTACCGACTTCGGATAGCTCAAGCTGGAGCCAGGAGGACATCGTTGCTACAGTTGCTCCAGCCGAACCGATTTCAACGGACGTCTCGGTCGGGAACAAACCGGAGCCCACAGCACGTAGTGGTTGCAAGGCTAAGACGCGAATGCGCTCGCTGTAATCGGCGTGAGCTGTAGTACTATGCTGTCGGTACCCATACCAAGTCTTTTTATACATTTACCACACTGGAAACAATAGTTGTTTTGTGCTCTCTAAAACGTCTTTGCTGGGTTCAAAAGGTGACGTTTGCGAGTTGGAATGAGGTACACGCTGTTTACTGCGGTGTAATGAATCCGGAAGCCACAAGCTTGAAACACTCTTGACCGATAACTAGGAATCAGGACTAGCAATGACGACTACTCGGTGGTCTGACCACAGTATCAGCTAATCATTCGTGTGGCCATTCGCACGAGACCAAGCTTGTTATCGAGCGCTTGCAGACTGCAACACTGCACTCTTTTACTGATGGTGTATACATGACGCATGATGGTTACTTCACGCAGATACAATGAAAATTCTTGTGTGTTTGAGCGATGATGGGATCGCAGCGCTTGACTCAAAGCACTATTTACGTGAAGTTGTGTACTAGAGGATACAAGAGAGAAGACATCGTCTTACAAAGGAGCATGTTTAGATCGTCCCTCTGATAACGCTGCTATGTCGCAAGGAAAGTGTAGGCTGCCATAATTGATGCGTGTATAGCAGGAAGGTCATTTGATTGCGAGAATACTGACAGCAGGCACTCTGATACGAGGTAGCAAGTAATTGGTGGTATAATCACATCAACCTTCCCGGTTATTTCGCATCCACAACATGGCGTCTTTACCAAGAGCCATCGAGTAATAGTTGAGGCCTCTCGGGTCAATGGACAATAACTCAGATCGGATGCACAGCGCAGGAGATATTCGGATGGATGTTTGATGCTGGGTTCACGCAGGAGGGTGTTGGACATAATCCTGCAAAAGGCAGAATAACACGGGACAAGGTACCCAGCATGGGCACTTCATTGCTATACGAGTCCATCGAGGTCGAAAGCCTTTGCCGTATTGGCCAGCTTTCTGTTGTCACATCTGTCTACGTGTACATGTCAGGAGGTAAATGTGGTTTACGTCCGCAAAAAGGTGAGAAAAGGTATCAGATGATAGGTACCATTGTTTGACTTTATGTAAAAAGCACTTGAGGCTGAAGTGTGGTCAAACATCTCAAGTTGCTTGATTACAAAGTCCACAAATTCAATAATTAATTCAGAGATGTCGATTGTAAGTAACGATTTTGAATCCGTAATTGAATGTGTCAATGAGCATCCGCGAATTATTCACTCTTTTTAATCGAACGATCCTACGTAAATGAGCTCATGAGTACTTTTACGTGTGAACATTATGCTTACGAAGTAACATCCGTGCCCACGTAAATGCCGGTGTGCCCACCACAACCTGCACACTGATAGACTTGAGTAAGTTTTACGGTCTTTCAATTCACACTCAACAAGCTGTGAAGCCATAAAAAAGATCTCGGCAACGCCGTCCATACACGAAGTGGTAGCGCATCGAGCACGCAACAAAATGCCGCAATGACATTTTAATAATTGATTCTCGATCGAGCGAGTGCCGATAGTCTAGCCATCCCGTTGCTCGAGAGAAGTTTTGAAAGCAAAGCCTTCATCGCGATGTTGCGAGGGATGTCCGTCTTCTGATGAACACAAAGAGGGAGGACGATATCGGAAGCTTTGTCAGCAGAAACGTCAAGTGTAGGCTCAACTAAATCAGCTCGAGTTATAATCAGAACCTGTGGTCGAGCACCTTCTTTTGCATAAGGGTGTTGCAGTTTGTTTCTGCTGATCAATCACCAGCTCCACAACAAGACCTATATCGTCGAATGGATTCTTGATGGTAGCTGGTAGATCATGCATGTCTATGCGAACGCTGCGAGTTATACCTTAAGACAACTGTCGCATGTTAACATACTGATTCCATTTCATCCGAACTGCTTTCATGACAGAAGCAAAGGTCGTTCTCAAGGGTGGACTTGCTTTCTGTCCATAATCTGCTTTCACCATGACTGTGCTACGATATCCTACTGCATCTGACGATGGCATACCACATAAAAGCTTTGTGGCTTCGCTCCGGCGAAGGCGAAGCGAAACGATTCCATCAGCAATTAACATACACGGGTAGCAACACCATGTGTCGGCGGCAATGGGTCCTTCGTTGTTGCCATTTCTCTGCAACGTCATTATCTCTACACCTCATTCGCGCTATTGTTTTCCGCGACATCGCTGCATCGTTGAATAATTAGGCTGCTGTCGATTACAAAGAGCGGTGATGTAGCTGCATGTCGTTGCAGCGCTCCGTGACGGTAATTGCTTACACAGCGATAACAGCATAGAGATAGAGCACTTGACGAGAATCAATGTGGACGCTTGTTGTCGTCGTCCTTCGTCAAATTAGACCACTATCGATGTCGGCAAAAAGTATCGACCATCACCAGTCGTACTATTAAGTGTATCCATCGTTATCGCTCTGCGGTCATCCTCCCTACTCCGCCTTTCGTCTTGCCTGCTTAGCTCCACGCTGAATCCTCCTTCGTCGCTCTGCTCTGGTCCATCTCGATGCAGCCTGCAGTCGTTTACACCTGGTAAGCGCCGTGCGTAGGTAGCATCATTGGACCCCCTTCTTTCATGCTAACGAAAGCAATACGATAAACGATCAAAATGTGCACCAGCATCAACAAACATTGCAAGAAACAGAACAGGCAACGTACCTCTTGAAGTAGTAGTATAGAAAATCCGCCATCATCAGCATGTGGCCGATCTGGACGAAAATCACCGTGTAGCCAACGTGCTGGCCCGCGTCCTTTTCGCCAAGTTCATGGTGCGACGAGAACCAGAACACGAGATGCAAGAAGCTACCGAAAGCCAGTGCGTAGACAAAGTGCGAGATACAGGACTCGACCGCACCTCCGCCCTACCCAGTCAGAAAAGTACAACACCAGTAAACGGAGGTCATAAATACAATGCGATGAATTACCGTCAACACATTTTCATCATCAATGCTGCGGTTATACATACCCGTTTCTGGAACATAAACAGCTGCGGCAGGATCGCTACGGCCTCAATGTACAGTGCGATGGTCCACGAAACATCCGATAACCAATTGCGGTTCAAGTTTGGGTGAATGAGCTGGCAAAAAACACGCAAAACGCAGCACAACAACAACGACAACACATTGTCAGTAATGTAAACGTACCCTCATCAGCCCAACAACCACATATCCAAATACACCACAAGAAAATAAAACAAAAAAGCTACGGCACGCACCATGCCAAACAGCACGCAGGGCAAAAGGATGTAGAGTGCTCCAAGCTCCGACGGCAGATGCAGCCATCCAAACGTGTCGTAGCGCAGCTCGTACGTCGAGTTATAGCGCACGGTTACGAGGTAGATCACCCCGCAGCAGAGCGATAGGGCCACTATCTCCAGGAACGAGTAGAGCCAGTCCCCGCTTCGGTCATAAGGGAGGTACCCTTGGTACCGCAGGATGGAGCTGAGGCGGAAGAAGAACACAAAGGCATAGAGCTCCAGTGTCTTGAGTGACAGGCCAGCTACTGAGCGCTGGGAGAACGCCTTGAAGATCAGGAAGGCAAAGCCAAATGCACGCACACAGGCGCCCATAGTCTAGCATGGTCCACATTAGCAGCAGTCAAGGTCAGAATTAGGCTACAAGTTAGAACTCGTCCATATAATTAATAGAATAATAATAAAACAGTAAACACAAAAATAAACAAAAACCCAAATGTTGTTTTTACCGCACCATTAAGAACGAAAAGTCCCCGTCACTGAACAAATGGTAGCAAAAAAACACCACGACCACAAAGCCCGACCATAGCGCAATGTTGCTCTTGTGCGTCGTGAGAAAAGCGCTAAAAGAGAGAGAGATAAAGGGTGAGAGAGATGCAGGAGAAAGATACGACGTTCACAGGGGGAAGAGAGGGCGGACGTACGCGCCGGGCGACTTGTCTTTGCTGTTTAAATCCATCATTTTGATCGATTGAGTTGATGGTTTAATGGGGCCGGTTTGGGAACTACGGAGAACTCGAGACAGTTTACGCGGCAGGATTTCGTGTGACGCTGTGATTGGTCGTATCTTCTCTTTTTTGAGTCGAAGCATTGGATTGGAGACCAAATCTTTTGGAATTGTAGCTGCTCAAATTGGGTCGTACTTTAGTGAGGATGTAGGGCTTCAGGTCAAAGTGTTGCGTCCCGTGTAGCGAGTTGTAAACATTCTGCTGTGCGTTGACGGCCGCTTTGATGCATGGAGACGCGAAGGTTGGAGAGTTCGGTTTACGGCTTGCGCAAGTTGGTGATGCTCGATTGACCAGTATCTTGCACTGTCATTCGCTCTATAAAGAGCATTTGGGTTTTGAGTGGTATGTGCTAGCGGACACTGCAGCAATGATTGAAGAGTGTTCTCTCATGTGCGTAAATCGAATATGCATCGTGCATGGTTGGTTATGCATTCTTTGGACTTCCCTCAGCATTCATGATGCGATCTCCACACATGCATCCGATAGTGGCGCATTCGGTTAGAGCTAATAACTGTAAATCATCGGGAGTTTGCCGCTATGTGATGGTGGGTAGAAAATTTTAGATAGTAAACTAAATTGGGGTACGAGAGGGCGCTCATATTGAGTAGGAGAGATGATTGTAGGTAGTCTTCACTTTCATGCGAATCGACAAAGATCAATTCATCATCGCGCCCCAGCAGCATTAAATCAAACAACTTGTACGACACTAGATAGAGGGAGATGTCGAAATGCTGATTCTCCAGGAGGGTGAGACCGCAGAACGCGGGTTCCTCCCAAAGTGCCCAGCGCTTCTGGCCATCCATAGGGACTTTCGCGTCAGGCTGATGGACCCAACATCCACTACAGGAGCCTCTTCTTGCCGCCAGTACAAAAGTACGGAAGACCACACTGTCGCACAGAACGCAACGTGGGTGGCAAACGCGGCGACTAGTATACCACAATATACAATACGTTGGATCGGTAGCAAGACAAAATCAATAATGACCGAATCGACGAGCGAACTTGCCCAAGGAATCACTGGACGGCACGAACGCTATCGATGATTGGCTGATACACTCGGTCAAAATTGTCGGTTTATTACAACTGGTACGGTCACTATACGCCTGTCGGTCACTCGAGAGAGGATGTCCGCGTGTGGTCTACACCTCCTCATCGTCCCTGTAAGTTCGGGTAAATGCGGTCCATAGTATGAATGGAGAGATACGTACTACAAAGTCAGCTGCCTGGCTGATAAATAAGCACTCCCTGCATGCTTGAAGCTCTTATGACAACTCATCACTTGCGTAAGAATCCAATTTACTTGTATGAATCTAGTGATTGCACTTGACATCAGACATGGCAAAGCAGCTTGAATGACCTGTTTCGAAGAGGGATGCTTCGTACATTTACTTAGTCGGATTCGGTCGATCCACAATGTGGTTGAGTGCGTGATCCTCTTGGTAGTCTGTGAACCATCTTGTCCACTGGTATCGCCGTGTTTCCACTGTGTTCTATCCGTGACCTAACTCGATCGAAGTGCTGGAGACTCACCGTCTGCATCGCGTCGTGTTTAGCTCTATCTCCGTCTATCTCGCGATAGATCTGTATTTCATTCGGTCCATACGAATGGAGCTTGAGTCTTCTGGTTCAGAGTATATCACCGAAGCTCTTAGCCGTCACAGTTCGAATGGTCGTTAGCCTCAAGCAGAATCCTCTGATAATAATAGTATAACACAGCATCGACCCTTGATGCGACCTCAAAGACGCACGGCAACTCGATCTCATTCAGCGCATCCAGACAACCATTAAAATAGGTCCGTCTGGTATCGATGGGGCTGGCTGGCTAGAAGCACTCCAGACCATGGCGTGTACGTCCGTGACATTGTGTTGTAGCAGACATATTTTGAATCCGTAAGAATGTGCAGCAAAATTCGGTCGGATTTAGTTCCCTAAAGCGAATGTTAGTTGCTACGCGAACACGGTATGGTGGAATGATCTGCTCGATGCTGGCGAAGGCGAATCGTATCGCACCAGCGCGCATACCATCAAAAAAGACGATACGGAATACATGCCGATTTACTGAGCGTGTTTCGACTGTTGACAGAAAATCGAGTCTGCAACACACCATTGTTAGCCCGAGAGCACATTACTGTTTGCATGAAGAAGGCTCCAACTTCGACACGTTTATGGTGGTCAAATGTATACAATCGAGTAAAGAGTATTGTACGCAGCATGTCCAAGATCTTCTCTTGGTCGCTGCAACTGGCAGATGTGGATGCTTTTTTGGACTACGCGACACTTAGCAAGGAAGATCTTCCTGTTGAGGCCTTAGCTAGACATAGAGCGAGCCTTTTGCCCAGCGTCGATTGTCTGACCTTGTCAAATTATGACACACTTGCAAAGGATAGCGACTGTGCCATGAGGTATGCCCTCTGCGATTACAAGACGACAGGCACGAGTGTTCAAGGCTATGTCTGGCTGTGAGCTCCAACGTGGTCGCCAACAGTAAATGCTGTTACCTCTGGCAAAGAGGCACCCACGTTCCGATCATTTGTACGGCGTGGTACACAATGATGAACGATGTACTTGGTCTACACGTCACCTCTTTCGAGCTATTCGAGACAAAGAAGCTTTACGAGCTGCCAGTACCGCGGTATATGACACACGCTCACACGACCCTCGAACCCCACACTTCCCGTGCCATTACAGCAAGTTCTTTGATGCCAGCTACATTCACATCGTCCTTCGTTTGCCAATTTCTCACAGACATTCGCCATCAACAAACATGCACCCACTCCCGTCATCTTACATTAAACGTAGCCGCTCAGGCCACTTAATCGTGCATGCTTCTCCTCTAGAAATATTACTTCGCTCTGTCATCCATCGACAAAAGCAGCACGAACCAGTAGAAGAGATCAAATCTTACCAAACTTTATCCAAAGCTTCAGTTACGACGAAGGTGCGCGTGTACAGAGCAGGCTACCGGATAATGCACTCTACGGCCTAGCACAACGTGATTCCGATCCGGTCGTTTAACCCGTTCACCTGCGCCGAGCAGCAAATGCTATCATTCCTCTAGTGCGCTGCGTCAATTTGTTTCAATTTTCCTCCGTCGTACGCGACATCTGCTGAATCTTTGCGCTGCGAGTAACTCTTCGATGTCTGTTCGCCATTATGAAAAAATATCAACTCCGCCTCGGTCTAATGCTGACGAATCCGAGGAAGATACACATATCGACATGGCGTATCGGTAGGTAGACTGCTGATGGTGCGGTGGGTGCTTGGACTGGGAGAACTATCAGCCAAAAGCATTCATTAACCCTTCTACTGTTGCTGCTTCTTGTTTCGTGGGACGCACTACGTGGGGCTTACTGCGTCCTTCGAGCGCCGTAAGGTACTTAAGGGGTCATGCAGCAGGAGACATGAGAGCTGCTAAATCGCATATTGTAAGACCCGCCTCGCCCTTCACTCTAAGTTCAACGCCCGCACCACCACAGTCCAGGTACGCTCGCAACTCTCCATATTGAAAAGGCGTGTACACGCGTGTCGACAGAAGGTTTTAGCGAAAGCTGTAGATGAGGCCATAAGGGAATCGTTGTTGACACGACAACACGCTCCGCGACGTAAAATCGTGCCTACTATACATCGATGAGTGCTCGTTCAAGCGTGACGACGCTGTGTTCGCGGCAGTAGCAGATGCACTTCATCCAAGCAAGTCACACGAAAAGCTGAACTACAGTCACAGCTGTCAGTAGTCGTATAAGACTTTTCAGTATTCCAATTCCAGCTGCTTTTTAGCTCATCAAAGGCGAGCATCCTTCAACATGTAACAGGTCTTGAAGTTGAACTCTTGACCTTGACTCAGCTATTGTAGGTCGACACATTCCAGTACGACAGGCGAGGCGTTATAAACCTGTAGATAATCTAGAGAGCAACGACTTGGCCTCATCTGGTGCCGACAGCAGTAGACTCATCACGTTTGCAAAGCGTACGATGCTTTTGCCTGGGCTCGATGATTAAGCCGTTCGAGAGCGCAACAGCTGCCAACGCGGAAGTGACAATGAGCGACACTAGCTGGCAATAAGACCGAAGCTTCTTGCGTGCGGCTGGAAATGCTTTGGCGAGATGGTGACGTTCACCTTCATTCTCAGTGTATGGTTTTCATAGCTGTCTCCTTAGCGCTGTCGTCCACAGTATCATTTTTTTCCTTTTGCTACGACTAGTATACTAAATCGAGCCACAAACATCGGCACGAATGTACATCAGAAGAACGTCTCTTCTTCGTCGTCGCTGCAGTTGCGGCGATATGGTCGCTCTTGTTCAATAGTATATAGCAATCGAGCCGCGCAATCCAACATGTCCAAGCAAACAAGCACCTACCCACCTCTCTCCGACAATACATATTCCCTTTCAGAGAGACAGAGAAAGAGAGAAAAAAGGTACCGTGTGCCATTGGTCGCGCTTTTATCTTGCCGTATCGTCCCGACGCACCTGCAACATCGAATACAACACAAACACCCCCTCCCCTCCGCCCTTCAGCGGGTTTTATCCATTGTAACAGGTCAAGCCAGCCCAGAGGGAGGGAGCGCGCTTCTCCACCAATAGCAGCGAGCGCTTGGATCGAGAATGGACTCGCGCGGCGAGATGAAGGCGCTGGACGCGCAGATCGACCGCTTGCGACGCGCCGAGAACTTGACCGAGACGGAGATCTACGAGCTGTGCCAGAAAGCCAAGGAGATCCTCGCGGGCGAGTCGAATGTCCAGCCCGTCAAGTGTCCCGTCACTGTTTGTGGCGACATCCACGGACAGTTTTACGACCTCTTGGAGCTCTTCCGGATAGGCGGCGCGTGTCCGGATACGAACTACCTCTTCATGGGGGACTACGTCGACCGCGGGTACTACTCGCTCGAGAGCGTCGCGCTGCTCGTGGCGCTAAAAGTGCGTCATCGCGAGCGCATTACGATCTTGCGGGGGAACCACGAGAGCCGGCAGATTACCCAAGTCTATGGCTTTTACGACGAGTGTTTGCGCAAATACGGCAACGCGAACGTGTGGAAGTACTTTACGGACCTGTTTGACCACTTGCCCATGACGGCGCTCATTGAGAACCGCGTGTTTTGCATGCACGGCGGACTCTCGCCGTCTATTGACACGTTGGACCATGCTCGAGCGCTGGATCGAGTGCAGGAAGTGCCTCATGAAGGACCGATGTGTGACCTCGTGTGGTCGGACCCGGACGATCGCTGTGGGTGGGGCATCTCGCCTCGAGGCGCCGGGTACACGTTTGGGCAGGATATTACCGAGCAGTTTAAACGCAGCAATGGCCTCACGTTCATTGCTCGGGCTCATCAGCTCGTGATGGAGGGGTACCAGTGGACGCACAATCGTGGCGTCGTGACGATCTTTAGTGCGCCCAACTACTGCTACCGTTGTGGAAACCAAGCAGCTCTCATGGAGATTGACGAAGTCATGGCTGATCGCAGTGGCGACAAAGTATACGAGACGTGCAAGTTCATTCAGTTCGACCCGGCGCCGCGTGATAGCACGTTTAATGAGAAGAAACGCACGCCAGACTACTTCCTATAGGCTGACGATGGTGTAGACGAGAGAGAGAGAGAGAGCGTAATTGATGGGCCCAAGTGGGTGGATGATACGATACGAAGAGTGGAGGCAAGCAGGAGGAAGAAAGAAGGTGTGGCGCCGACGGCAGATGACCATTTAGCAACGAAAAGGAGACTGGATGCGATTGAGGACAGGCACAAGAGGCGAGGGGCAGCGGAGTGGAAGTTGGTAGGTTGTGGACCTCGATCAAGTGACAATGCGAGTGGCTAGCCAGCGCTCTAGAGAGTGGCGTTTCACTGGCGGGCGATTTGTTTTCCTGCTCTGAACACTCGACTTTTTTGGTGGCGAGGTGGAGTGTGATGGTATTCTTTTCGTATCAACACGATTTAGTTGGTTCATGTGCCTTGTTGGCTTGCTGCTGCAGACCGTAAGGGGTTTTCGCTTCGAACAGCCGCAGGAAGTCTGTCCATGCGTCTTGTACTGTGTTAGTTACACCAAGTGTGATGTTGTTCGAGCCACCAAATCTGAGCTGAAGCCGTACTAGTGACTCGCAAAATGTATGGGTCAAACACGAAAGCATGCGACAAAACCCTCGGACAGAGTTGACTGACTACTGCTCGTTGTAACCGCCGCGTCAGTCGCCGCCCACGACGTCATCGAGAACCTCAAGTACTTCATACCGAACTGCTGAGAAGACTACCGAGCCCGGCTCGTCACATGGCTACACCTGGTACACCGTACCACCGGCTTTCAATCAGGTTGACTCGAGTCGAAGCAGCGTTTGAGCTGCAGGCGTCAACTGCTGCGACGCTCCTGTTGCCAGCGACGCAGAGTGACGGTCGCGATGGCTCCCAGCAGTAGCAGCAGTAGCTCAAGACCCAGCAGCAGCAGCAGCAGTATGCGAAGTAACAGTACGCAAAGTAGCAGCAACAGCAGCAGCAGCAGTAGCAGCAGCACGTATGAGCCAACGATCTATACGCTATTGCTCACAGTCATGTGTCTCCTCCTCGCGCTCTTCCTCTTGACGCGGCTATTTGTCGCGCTTCGGAACAAGAACAAGGTACTCGCGTGGTCCACTGGCTTCTACCTCCTCTGTCTCCTCTGGACGGGCGTACGCGCTGCTTACTGGATCATCATGTCGACGCAGTCCAGTATGCGCTACTTGACGCTCTATCTGCTCTACTGGTCGCCCACGCCCATCCAGTTTGCCAACTTCTCGCTGCTCATCCTGTTCTACATCCAAGTGCTCACAGGACCAGAGTGGCGCTCCAAGTGGCGCAGCGTCTGTTTGCCGCTCTACCTATTGCTGACCATGACCATGGCGACGTTCACGGTCGTCTGGGCGTTTAACTCGTCGTATGACATCTCGAAAGCTGCAAGAAGAGGCGACGAGTACGACCAAGAGTTCTCGAAAGTGTCGGACGTTTGTGTACAGCTCAAGTACTCGGCTTTCTCCTTTTTCCTTCTGAGTATCCTCTTTGGTTTCTTTGGGTGGAAAATGGCCAATGTAAGTGCAATGCAGCTGAAGGCACAACAGTTACCGACATGACAGCATTTGTCTTGTTTGAATTTTTGACATGCAGGTGGAAAGCTGGAAACGAAGACGACTGCTTCTGTCAAGGCCACGGGTGCGTAGTGAACACTGCACGTCATCTGTTGTGAATGTCTAATGGTAAATGTTTGTGGCTCGCTAATGTTTTGCAGAGCTTGGCGGTAATCAACTCGTTGTTGTGTCTCATTTTCTTCACGAGAGGGATTCGGGACCTAGCGACGTCTCAGAGCTGGTTCCTGAGTATCTGGAACAACCTGGATATGAACGGCCGCGTGACGACTGTTGCGTACTTCGTATACTTTTGCTTTTGGGAGTTTTTACCGACCATTCTGTTGCTCTGTTTGATCTCGTCAAAAGCCGGCGGTGTAGGAGGTAAGTGCTGGTGCTGGACGAAAGGATTTAGAAATGGTAGTAGGCCTGGTCATTGATAGCGTATCTGTGTTTCTTGCGTTTCATCAGCTCCAAAGCACGGACCTGCATCCCAAAAGCTGCCTGACTACGGTATTTTTCACATCATTAACACCGGTGAGCGCAAGCAGCTAACCGCGAGTCCGCTTACCACGAGTGCCTACGGCTCTTACGGAACTCGTGCAGAAGAACGACAGCACGAGCGTGAACGTCCTCGATGGACACACGGTGGTGACCTGTTCCAAGATCCTTTGCGGTATGATTCCGATGATGGTCCAGCGCCATCACCGCATTATTTTCCTGACAGCTACAATAGTGACGCCAGCACGAGCAATTACAACTACGGACGCGTGCCGCGTTATTCAACTGGAATTTAACTACCAAGTACTCTAAACGAAACACGTGTGCATTAAGATTGACGACCGCATGCTACCGCTCTTTGTCACAACGATCGGGCTGAGTCACTCGTGAGGCTTGTGCGTCCTTCATCTGGCACAATACTCATCATTGGTGGCGCTGTCATGACAATATTGGATTGCAATGTGGCAGTCAGTTTTGAGCCAGAGCACTTCAACTTGAAGACGTGTTTACGGCCGCGACAAATGTAGATGGTCAGTTGTAGCAAATGCGAGGTTATGTGGCAAGTCCTTCGCATTACCAGCGCTGTGACAAGAAGCAGTTCGATCGATCGAGCCGGATCAACGCGCGAGTGGCATTACATTTTAGCTGCTAGCGTTCTTGAAGCTCCTTGGTACATCGATACAAGCAGCAGACATATGCCATGCCTACATTGAGCTTCTTCGTACCACGACATATTCAGTATCTAGGTTACAGCAGGTATCCTGCGTGCTCTAACGTAACGAAATGGAATGCCTGCACTCATGCTCGACGCAGTTACAGTGCGAGTATGACTGTTGGTGTCCAACAGTCCAGTCGACCGTCCACATCGTGCACTTGTTGACTGGACGTATGGAAGCAGCATAGACGCGTTGCAACGTGCACCTTGTGTCTTGTTCTGAAGACCTTTTCGTTTCTATGGTGACTACTACAGCTAGAAAAGCAGCGTCGTCCTCCTGACTCGATTCGATAATCGTCAACGACGACAGGCACGTCAAAGGCTCGAGACATTGCGTCTGACAACTTAACGCGCGGGGACAACGCCATGTGCCTGTGACCTACCTCCGTATGGAAAAGAGGACCGAGTATGGACTGGCTCTTTCGTTTCTGACTCGATCGAGGCGGCCCGATCTCGGGTTTCGTAACAGCGTTAACAGCTGTGCCCGTTACAAACGGACTGCCTCGCTCCACGTGGCGGGTGCAACTTTAGACCCGCCCGACCCGAGGGCCTCGGAAGCCCAAAATAACAAGTGCAGGCGGTTGGTTAATTTGGGTCACAGGAAGGACGACTGCCTGACTGACAGTCTGCTCACTGTGACAACAGCCAGCAGCTGGACACATCGACGGCAGCCGTTTCGAAACAAGAGGAGGAGCTACTGGTTGGGACCGAACTCGTCCGTCATGGAGACGTCAGTTGCCACCACGCTGCCCGATGAGGTGCCGCTGATGCAGTGGATGTTCTACTTCCAGTACGAGCGCGACTGGGTGCGTAGCCTCTGATGTGACGAATCACGTGGGACAAGTCGCGTGCAAGGCTCGACAAGTGCTAACCGTTTGTTTTCGATTGATTTGTGCTTTTTTCCCTCTTTCAGGTGGTGTCGTGGCAGCCGGACTTTTGCAAACAGTCCATGGCCATGGCCATCGCTCTTTGCGTCGTCTACTGTTTCCTGTGCTTTGCGGGTCGCCGCATTATGCGGGACCTCAAGCCTTTTGACCTAAAAGTGTACGCACGAGTTTCTCCTCCCCCCCCTTCCCCTCCTCTCATCCGCAGCTGCTGGGCTGGGTTGGACGATGGTCCAGTGTTGTTGGGAGATGGAACTGACATTGTTCCTACTGTGCTTTTGCTATTGTTGGACAATGGATGCACGTCGCAGCGCACTTGGACTCTGGAACTTGGCACTTGGTACCTTTAGTGCCATTGGCGCTCTTCGGACTGTGCCGTTTCTCCTGGACACCATTTACCGCCGTGGCGTGTACCACTCGGTGTGTGCGCCGCCTACCCCGCTGTACGGCCGCGGTCCCGCGGGTCTTTGGGCGACGATGTTTATCTTCTCCAAGGTCCCGGAACTTGTCGACACGGTCTTTATCGTGCTGCGCAAGAAACCGCTCATTTTCCTGCATTGGTACCACCATGTCACGGTGTTGCTCTTTTGCTGGCATGCTTTCGGCACGCTTTCGGCAAGGTGAGTCAGCGTTGTATTGCAAGGGAGCGTAGTGGGTATCTCGAGTTGACTAGGGCTGACTTGTGCAAATGGATGTCATCGATATGCACAGCGGGATCTACTTTATCGCCATGAACTACTCGGTGCATGCCGTCATGTACTTTTACTACTTCCTCACGGCCTTCGGCTACCGACCGCGCTGGGCACGTCTCGTGACGATCTTTCAGCTGAGCCAAATGGTCGTGGGCATTGCTGTATGTGGCCTCAATGTGTACTACATGAAGCAGGGCGTGACGTGCAGCGTGGACCCGGACAATCTCAAATGGGGCATCATTATGTATTCGAGCTACTTTGCACTGTTCCTCAAGTTCTTCATGGAGCGCTACCTGCTACGCAGTGCCAAGCGTTCTTTCGCTGTCACGAAGAAGAAGACGCAGTAGTAAGCTGAACTACAATCGAGAGATGTAGTACATTGACAAATAGCGGACGACAAATACAAGGAGAGAGGGGGTTATGACATGCTTTATGGATATCATCGTCAGTTTACGTCATGCTGTCCCTCGTGATGGACGAACTTACGAAGATCGCAGTTCCACTGCTGCCGTAGCGACTATTACGATCCATCCGTCCACCCATCTTCGTACCCTTTGAAACATGATAACCATCCACTGGTGCGCAACGCAGCTATCGACGATGTGCTGCGAGCAGTCTCAGTTAGTGTGAACCACATCAACTCTAGCGCAACGTTAGTCGCCAGCTGGCGAGCGAGATCAAAAGGATCCAGGTCGCACCTTTTTCCGCGAGCCCATTTATGTCGGCCAAGAGTCGCCAACATGCCCTTTTCTTCAACTGTGCCCTTTTTTCAACGGTGCCCTTTTCAACACTAAACGAAACGGTCGCGCGAGTCCCAACGTGAGCTCTTCAACTAGAACTCTGCAATAATCGTCGTAATGGCGAGTAAACAGGATCAATATGCACCATCTTCATCTCCAGAGACGTCCATGATCAAGTTACCAGATCCAAGAGAAGACACGTACGCTGGACGCGTGCGCAAGACCTTCGTCATGCTGGACATGCGCACAGCTTTCACGTCCAGACAGGACCTCCTGGATGCACAGCAGCAATTACTGGCCCATCGCCGCGGCGAGTTTGTTCATCCAGTCGAGCTCCAGCACGCGTCCAACGTGACGCATGCTATTCTGCATCCGGATACGGGCCAGCCAGTCGTGATGCCATTGCGCGCGTCCATGATCGTGCCCATGAACATGGTCATGGACGGTGCCATGCTGCTGGCCAAGAGTGTGAAGACCACCATCGTGGCCCAGTGGCTGAACCAGACGTACAACGCGCTGCACTATTACGCCAACCGCAACGCCTCCAATGCAGACACAGCACAGCAGCGGCTCGTGGCCTACGTGGGCGCTACAGCCAGCTCAGTCGGAGCATCACTTGGTATTCGGCACTTGGCTGGTCGTCGAAGAAACGCCAAGTGGACGTCTGCTCTTGCTCGCATGGGACCTTTTACCGCTGTTGCTGCTGCCGACTTGATCAATCTAGCAGTCATGAGGCAAAGCGAGTATCTTCAGGGAGTCTTCGTGTACGACGAGCAAGGAGATGCAATCGGCAAGTCCAGGAGGTGTGGAGCACTGGCAGTCGCTTCATGTGCGACCGCGAGGATCTTTGCTGCTGCACCGATCTTGCTGCTGCCACCACTGGTGATCTCGATGATCGAAAAGCACAGCACAGTGTTCACGCGATCCAAGACGCGGTGGCTGCGCGTGCCGACTCTGCTTGGCTTGGTCGGCTGTGCGATTCAGTTTTCGGTGCCCTTGACGTTCGGATTGTTCCGACAGACTGCGCAGCTTGACTTCAAGTACCTTGAACCAGAGCTGCAGCAAGCTACGCGCAAACAAGATGGCCAACCCGTGCGTGTTGTCACGTATAACAAGGGCATTTGACGCTCTAGTTTCGGCCAAAGTCTTGACGACTGCAACTCAGCAGCATACAGATCTATTTTGCAGCAACGCCGCCTCGACAACGACTACTATGATCGACCTTTCATGCAAACTCGCACAGTTGTCCGCTTATCTCGCGCTAGCTACACACACACGCTGCTGTATTCTACTTGGAACCAGTTGAAACGCTGGCGTGACAAAACGCTTACAGTTGCATCTAAAACAGCTTCCGTTAGTCAGAAAAGAAGCACCGACACAATCAAATGGAATACGTACTTGACACCCATCCAATTCCACAAGCCGAGTTTAGCATTACACGATGGACAAAGCAGCTTGCCAACGCTGTTCCGAATAAAGACAGGGTCCTTCGTCATCCACGTCATCGGTTCGATAAACAGTCCAGCGCAGCGTCCACCACCACTGCTTTCACCCGGGCTCAAGTGCAGTAACTAAACATGACAGCATCAGAGTAACGCCCATTAGCCTCAACAATAGCTAAACGCATCAGTCTTTGCTTCACCTGCACCTGATTGCTCGTCGTGCACAGCACGTAAGTGCATTTTCGACAACACACCGAGCTGCTCGATCGTGCGAGTTGCACAGTGCCGACGATATGAGCTGCTCCGGTCTTTCCTCGTTGCTGTTGTGCCATTCTTGTCCGCAATTCGGCATGCGCAGGCGTGCGGCCCATCCAGTTCGGGTCCTTTTGCATCCTTTCGAACAAATCCAGTTGGCGCAAGAATCCCGTATTGATCGAGATGCACGGTCGAGCACGCTGCACGATATCGTACGCCTCTAGCAGCGTCTTCTCTTGAGTAGCCATTACGTATGCCACACAGATCGTCGCACTACGCGATTGGCCGTACACGCAGTGCACAAGCACTGCTGCTGCTTGACGCGTTAGAAATCGATTTAGAAACTGAATGCACTCGTCGAAATGAGGCAACAGGGGCTCGTCCTCCATGTCGAGGATATCAATCAGCAGGACGTCACATGGCTACAAAACATGCAACACAGTAACAACCCAATGCGTTCAGCTTCTGCACACGGCTCCGCTGCTGCGTTACAATCGTAACGTCCAGCCAACCTTCACCGTGAGATCTCCTGTCCCCAATGCAATAATGGCCTGAATATTATTGGCGTTTAGAAATGCGACGTCCTAATCAAGTGAGAGCGACCATTTGAGAGCGTTAGAAACGTCCTCATCCATCCCTAGGATGTCGTCAACGCGACGAACCTGTGCAGCTCTTGCTTCGCCAAGGAACAAGGGCAAGTCTCCAATACGTGCTGCTGTAGGAACCCCTTCTAGGGCCACGTGGTGATGCTGTCGCTGCACGAGCAGGTCCACGAGCGGCGAATTGGGTACCATGTCGAATTTCTATCGCGCGTGTCACACAAGCGCGGGAGTAAACCAGCTGGACCCACAACGACGAGCTGCGACACCCCAAAAAAAGCAGAAACAAAAACCGCTTCTTTTTTGTCGCACGGTCGTCGGCCACAAACGGTCCCGTCGTTGCATTGTGAGGTGTGTGTGAGTGTGTGAGATGGCTACAAACCAGTTGAAGCCCGGCATGTGAGACCGTCATTTCTAAAGTTCCGCGATCGATCCCAACCAGTCATTGTAGCCACCACGAATGAAGATCGCGTTTTTCTCGTCGCACAGCTACGACGTGGAGTCCATGGAGCGTGCAGCGAAACTCGACGCCGTCACTCCTACGCACGAGCTCCAGTTCTTGGCCGCGAGACTGGACGTTCACTCGGCCAAGTTAGCCGAAGGGTGTGAAGGGGTTTGTCTCTTTGTCAATGACGTTGCGGACGCGGACGCTCTTCGTGCCCTGCACGCGGGCGGTACGCGAGTGATATTTCTTCGTTGTGCAGGGTTCGACCGGATCGACCTCCAATGTGCGAAAGAAGAGCTCGGGATGCCAGTGCTCCGGGTTCCCGCATACTCGCCGTACGCCGTTGCGGAACATGCTGCTGCATTGATGATGACACTGAACCGCAAGATCCACCGCTCGTATAACCGTACTCGCGAGCAGAACTTTCGTCTGGAGGGGTTACTGGGCTTTGATGTCCATGGCAAGACAGTCGGGGTCGTTGGTACGGGGAAGGAATATTGGCTCCCTCTTTGCTCGAATTGCAGCTGGTTTTGGCTGCAAAGTACTTGCTTATGATGTGAGACAGAGTCCGGAGGCTCAGAGCTATGGTGCTGAGTATGAATCGCTTGATGAGGTCTGGGCGCGCTCGGACATTGTGTCACTGCACTGTCCACTGACTCCGTCGACGAAACACACGGTCAACACAGAGAGCATTTCGAAAATGAAGGACAATGTTATGATTATCAATACGAGTCATGGTGGCCTGATTGACACGAAAGCGCTGGTGAACGGTCTGAAAAGCCGCAAGATTGGCTCAGTCGGTCTTGACGTGTTTGAAGGCGAGGGTGACTACTTCTACTCGGACTGCTCGGGTGGTATCATTGCCGACAACACGCTCGCTCGTCTATTTACGTTTCCGAATGTGATCATCACGGGACACCAGGCGTTTTTCACGGAAGAGGCTCTCGACAACATCAGCTACACTACAATGAGCAACATTCAAGCGTACAGCGCGAAAGAAGAGCTGGTGAACGAAGTCAAGTGAAGCCCGCCGTCAACATTCGCGTCAATTGTGACAAGGCAAGTATGGAGCGCCTTTTCTGGTTTTCATGTCTGCATGTTTATTGCCAAAGAGTTCCTGAAACTGAAGTAATGAAGCAAAAGAAGTAACGAATAAACCTCTCGCAGAATCATTCGGAAGAATACAGGAGCTGCAAAGATAGCAAGTTGATGGGAAGTCAGCTGGGCACTCGATGGCTTTAGATGCATGAGGCACTTGTTCACCGTCATCGGGATGATTCTGTGAGCCATTTTTTTCAGTCACTTTGGTATTTGCTCACTCGCCCTCTGGATCGGTAACGACACGAACAGAAGATGTCCCCAATCTCTTACCTCGCAGCTTCCACGGCGATTCTGATGTGCAACACGAACGGTTTGGAGATATCCAGCTGCAAGATGACGGATGCAAACTTTCCCAGACCACAGCACCTCTGCCAATCGGCTGTTGAAGGCGCACACAAGTGTCCAGAACATATCCAAAGTCTAGCGTGATTACAGTAGTGCTGTAGTCTGTCACGCACCAAACTCAGAACGTTCCACCCGCAGAAGCATCAGACGCATGTAGTTCCTAATACGTGCCGGTTTCTTCGCCACTGCATTTGTAGCGGAGCTACACAGCTCCTTAAGTCAGAGGAAGACTTAACGCTCTACGAGCAACTTAGTTCTAAAGAACTAACGACTTTACGAGTCAACAAGCTTTATAGCTTCAGATCCCTGTTCCAGGGGACCTAACGATTCAGTGAATCGACAGCACTTAGTGCTCAAGAGTAGCTACCTCAAGGAGGTGTCGCTAACTCTTAGTGATCAGAGATCAACGATCAAGACGGCTCGCAAGCCACGTGTCTTTCAGATCAAAATGGGAACTGATTTTATTTTTGTTAAAGCCTATAGAATATCTTAATCCTACTCAAAGATCTTTCGTATCTAATGGCTGACACTCGTCAGCCCCTACAAACCGATAAGATATTCTATATCACCTTCACAGAAGCGAACCCTCAGGTGTGTAACACCTCTGGTACAAAGTACCATGATTTCGTGCAACCCCGTTACACCCTCCCCCACCAGACTGACGTTTGCCAAAACGTCAATCGAACTCGTGTTCTCAGCGAGAACAGTGCGCGTACGGTGAACCTCACGGTAACGTACGCTCCAGCACGATGTCCTCATCACCAAACGAGTCAAAGGCTCTGTGTGACTACCTCGGAATAGAGGAAGAGGTGGAATATGGTAGCGGTACCAGTGTCCGCGGTGACACAGGGACAACGTCCGGCTCACTGATGCCTGAGGCACAACTTTCGAACACCCCAAATCCGTTCGCTGAACGTGGAGGTGCGAGCGTGCCGCCAGCGCAGCGTGCAGCATCTGGGTTTGATGAGACTATCATCGCGAACCCGCTCGATGAGCAACAACAACTGCTTGTTCAAAGAGAACAAAACGCTCAGCGTTATGCACAGATGACTGCAACCCTTGAACGCCAGCGTGATTATGTGTTCACCCCACCCAGTGTGGAGGAACGTCTGCGTCAAGCGGCCGGCCAAACATTGGCAACGTGGGTCATTGGCCATGGGCCTAAGACTCCTGAGGAGGTGGTGAGCTGCCAGGCACTTCGTGAGAGGTACCTGGAGCCGCACCTAACGACTCAAAGTCAATACAAGGCACGCCTTGACATGCAAGCACGTGGTGCACCAGTTCCACCGATGAAGGGTATACCCATTCTCCTGCTCGCAGGCGAAACAGCGAGTGAAGAAGACGATGCCTTTGTTCACTGGGTGCACTATGTGCGTCGCCTCAGCAACATTTTTGCTCTAAGGGCGAGTGCCCATGCGGCGGATGTGCGTCTCGAACGCAAGCTTCGGTATGATTATGCCAAGCTTAAGGCCAGAGGCCAATTGCGCAAGCGCACGCGCTATGCTTCGGCTACTAAGGTAGCCGCGAGTGCTGGTCAGTCTGTGACCAACAACCCGCCAACCCGCACCACTAGTGGTGGTGAACGGCCTCGGCCTCGAGCTGACCTTGGCCACGATGCTCAAAAGCCTCCAAAGCATATGGGCAGTCTTGCCGAAGGGGTACCTCAAATTCCCATGAGTTTTCAGACTCAGGGTACCCACGCCACTTTACCAGATACTGGTATTGACCCTGACGACGACGTCGTTTCAGTAGTCTCTCGACATGGAATTGACGACACCCATGCTCATCGAGCAAAGTCGGTGGCGGCCGGTGTACCGGTGGAGGCCCACGAGAAATTGGTTCTCGAAGTGAAGGGTCTTCAAGAGGCCTTGTGTAAGTCCCAGTGCATGCTGGATGCGATGCAACGCCGCCTTCAGGCGATGGAGCAAGCTCAAACTCGGAGCGAGGCTCAGTTGGACTTGCTGATTCGTCTACAGCAATCCGGGGCAGTGCCCTTGTCGTCGGCGCAAGCGCCTCCAAGTTCACATGGGAAGGATCCCGGTACGGCTTAAGTAAGCCTACGTAGAACACTGGATGTGTGCGCAATTTGCGCGGGAGGTTAAGCGTATACGCAAGTCCCTTCTTGGCCGTGACTGTAAACGGTCCAATAAAGCGTGGACGCAACTTTGTCTTAAAGACAGCAGACACTACATTTGTAGGTAGATTTTTAGCATTGAGTAGTACTTGGTCTCCGACCTCATAACGTTCAATACAATTTCTGCCTTTGGCATCAGCTTGTTGTTTTTGGGTATCCTGGCTATCAGCCATTGCGTCACGCACATGTCTTAAGACATTTAATCGCGTTGCGAGAAACTCGCCGACCTGTTTTTGAACAGTAGCAGGGCTGATATCAGCAAGCCGATCGGCAACCTCTCCCCCACCAAGCCCTGATTCACGTAGTGATAGCGTTAACGGAACGCGAGGGTGAGTGAGACCGTTTATATAGAACGGAGTAAAGCCTGTTGAGGCATGAACAGCGTTATTCAACGCAAACTCAACAACAGGGAGCATTGAGCTCCAACGCCTAGGCGTATCAGCGCAAACACTGCGCAAAATGTCGTTGATGACGCGGTTTACACGCTCAGTTTGACCGTCGGTCTGCGGATGATCCGCTGTGGACATGTCCAACCGAGTGCCAAGCACCTTGAAGATAGACTTCCAAAACTTCCCAGTGAAGCGGGGGTCTCTATCAGAGATAATTGCCACAGGCAAGCCATGTTGGTGAAACACACGGTCGATAAACAGCTTTGCTGTACCTTCCGCATCAATGCTATCCGGCACAGCCGCTAAGTGAGCCATCTTGCTCAATCGGTCAACAAATACCACAATACCAGTGTTGCCTTCCGAATCTTTCGGTAGGCCAAACACAAAATCCATGCTCATGGACTCCCAACAACCACTGGGTACAGGCAAACTAGCCAGCGGCGCCGCCGCATGTGCGAGGGTTTTACCCGTTGACACGTTTCGCACGTACGCACATAGGTGCGCACCCACTTATAAAGTTTGGGCCACCAATAACTTTGGCTCACCGAGCTATAAGTTTTCTCACGACCGAGATGACCACTTAAAGCAGTATCATGTGCCTCATAGAGGATCCGATACTTTAATTCCTCATCATGAGGTACTACGATACGAGGGTTGTCCTCAATATCCGTGCGATAGCACAACAGGCCATTATCAATGGAATATCGATGTAGCCTCGCACGTAAACGTGCCGAAAATTCTATGTCCGAGTCTTTAAACTCATTGCTCCCAAGAGCTCGTAGCACAGCTACACACTGATCGTCCTTGGCATATGCCGCACGAATTAAGTCAGGGACTGACGACGCCAGGGTCGTAACATGAGCAAGCTCATAGTCAGGTCGACGCGATAGCGCATCAGCCAAAGCGTTTTGCTTACCTGGCTTGTACTTCACCTCGAAGTTATATTCGGCAAAGAAAGAAAGCCAACGAGCCATTCTCTGTGAGAGGTGAGGCGACTGTGTCGCAGTGCGCAATGACGCATGATCGGTATAGATCACAAATGGCTTCGAGCCAAGCAGATGGACTCTGAATTTGACAAGAGCGTACTTCATAGCAAGTAGCTCTTTGTCATGAACAGGATAGTTCTTTTCAGCAGCTTTCAGCTGTCGAGATTCAAATGCGATGACGCGTTCGCGTCCGTCGACATCGGTTTGTAACAGAGCACTGCCTATGGCAAAGTCAGATGCGTCACAGACGACACTGAAAGGCCGACCAGAATCGGGCAAAGCCAATATTGGCGCATGAAGGAGACTCTCCTTAACTGCTTCAAAAGCATTATGTTCGGTGTTACCCCAACACCAACCCACATCCTTTTTAAGGAGATTGGATAATGGCCTAGCCGTGTCTGCGTAATTTGCACTGTACTTATGTAAGTAATTGGCAAGGCCAAGCCACTTACGCAAGTCCTTTTGGTTCTTGGGGACTGGCCAATCGACTATGGCTTTTACCTTAGCGGGATCCGCTCGAAGGCCTCGCTTCCCAATGAAGCACCCTAGAAAGGGAATCTCTTCTGCACCAAAGATGCACTTCGATGCGTTCGCATACAGCTTATTCATCCGCATACACCCGAGCACCGCCCGTAAATGATCGATGTGATTATCCACATCTGATCGCCCATTCATTGCACGACTATGGACAAAAATGTCATCAAAGTACGTTTGTGCATAGCCTCGATGAGGTCTGAATAGTTGCGTTACCAACCGGTTAAATGTAGCCGGAGCGTTAGATAGCCCTTGTGGCATAACGAGCCACTCCCAAAGCATACCGCTAGGAGTACTCACCGCTGTTAGCGGAATATCGCTTGCTCGCTTGAGCAGTTGGTAATAAACATCGACTAAGTCGAGTGCACTGTACAGTGTACATCCCGCCATATTGTTCTGAAGAACATCCTTTCCAGGAATAGGCGTCTGCGCCGGTATAGTGGCTGCATTAAGCTTATTGTAAGCATGCACAATACGCCACTTGCCATTTGGCTTTCTGACACAAAATGTCGGTGTTGAATGGGGAGATTTACTCTCACGAACCATTCCAGCCGCGTGCTTAGCACGAAAGAAATCGTCAATGACGTCGCACTGTTCTTTAGGCAAAGGCCACTGCCGTGTTACACAGTATTTAGTTCCAGGAACCAAGTCAATCTCATGACATACACCTCTATCGGGAGGTAAGGCAGAAGGTGGGTTGTGACACACCACATCTTGAAATTCCTTGACTAAAGGATAGAACGGATCCAAAGGATCTTTAAGGATCGAAGATCCACTTCGTGCACTAAGTGCCGCCTTTGTATCCTCTAGGACAGACTCATCCATTAACGAGGAAGAATTTAAGTCAGTATCAGGTCTAATGATTGCTAACTCGGATAACTCTCCTGCCTTCAAGGCCTGGCTAAACTCGCCATCAGACATTTCGTCTAGCTCACACAGAGCGTCCACAGATGGAAGGGTTTCGAGGCTCACATTGCCATTAACCTGACCAGTCACTCCATTAACAAGTGTATATAGTGTATTGCTAATCTCACTATGTGACTGTGAGGACGCCTGGCGCTTTACAGCTGCTACTCGGCGTCTCGATTGTCTCTTCGAGACCTTACACCCCTTAGGGGTCGGGACAATATTGTCCCCATGATTACTACCAACCATAGTACGCTCTACACGAGAGCTTTTGTCTTGACCGACATTAGGTGTGGTGCCCTCACGGCCGTCCACACTATACGGCGTATCGCCAACAGTGTCATTACTGACATTAGGTGTGGTGCCCTTACGGCCGCCCACACTATACGGCGTATCGCCAACAACGCCATTACCGGCGTTAAGCGTGGTGCCCTCACGGCCGTCCACTCTATACGGCGTATCGCCAACAATATCTTTACTGACATTAGGTGTGGTGCCCTCACGGCCGCCCACACCATATGGCGAATCGCCAACAACGCCATTACCGACATTCAGTGCGGTGCTCTCACGGCCGACCGCACTCGGTGTAATTTCACGTGCCACCATACACACATCAAAGGAATCACGTCCTTGATCACTCGGCCCTAGGCCAACCATGCTTTCAGCATGCAGTGACTCGTTATCACAACGAGTACCACTCAACGGAGTACGTGCCGTTTCACTAGTTCTAGACGAGCTAGGCTCGAAACTTATGTTTTTAGCATTGGAGTTAGATAACTCGGACATTCCAATATCCAGCACATTGACATCTTCTGTCAAAGGCTCGCGCCAATATCGCTTCTGCTTCCTAGCAAAGGTGGGTTCATGACTCTCCAAAGCTTCGCTAGGAACATTGCGCGTAGCGCCTAAGGTCTTAGACCTCCAATCAATCCATGGCTCATGGCGCTCAAGCCAAGCCATACCTAGGATGAGATCATATCTCGATTCCAAATCTAGGACAAGACAGCGCTCAATATTGTCAAAGTCTAAAAACTTTATACCTAAGTTCAATGGAACTTTAGGCACCGTTACGCGACTTCCAGTCGCTAAACGAACCGTGATAGAATCACCTTCATGCGCTGTAAGCGCCTCAGCATAACGCTGACTTCCCTTAAGGGAACGGCGTCGAGCATAATTGCAAGACGCCCCAGAATCGATCAATATCGACCAAGGCTTCTCGAAGCCCTCAATTTTCGCCTCGGCGACCAACAAACCAGACTTGTATCCACGCACAATACCCGTAGGTATGGTACTCTTTGGGGCTAAGCACTGCATTCCTTTACCTTCTAAAGGTGTAACATAACATAGTTCTTCCCCAGTAGGGCGCCCCGCGCCTACTGGGTGTCCGCATTTCCCCGTGCCATGCCAGACTTCTGACTCGGGCTCGAGTGTTGGCTCGTAGTCTGGCGTTGCTTACGCAAAGGGCAACCAGGCCGCAAGTGTTTAGTGCTTCCGCAAGTAAAGCATCGTCTTACAACGTGTTTCTGCTCAGCAGCTTGAAGCTCAGCTTCACCTCCATCTTCAGCATAGCTGAGATCCATCGGTTCCAGCCTATTATAGGCAGTGGTACCCGAATAGTTTGCTCTCACAGAGCGAGGATTGTATCCGTTCCAACCAAGTCTGGCCGACTTGAAGTTATGCTCAGCATTAAGAGCAATTCTCACAGCCTCTTCAAACGTAGAGGGGTGAACCCGAAAAACTTCGGTTCTGGCAATGCCAGTACGTAGACCTTCCATGAAGATAGTCACATGGACTGCTTCAGGCAAAGGGTCAGACTGCATTGCAGCCATGAGCGTTCGCAGCTCTTGGACATAGTCCGATAATTCATTCTTACCCTGGCGGGTAGAAAGAAAGCGTGAGCGCACGCGGTAAGCCTGGTTAGGTGGAGAAAACACCTGTACCAATTGTAACTTGAGCGACTCCCATGTGGGAAACGCTATGTCCACCGACGTGCTACACGTCAAGGCCCATTCTCTAGCTCTACCATCGAGCTTCGAGATAGCCAGCGAGACCTGTTGATGGTCAAGCGTGATCAGACCTGATCTCATGGCCATCTCGATCTCACGGATCCAGAGGATGAGGTTCTCACCCTCCTTACCGGAGTAGTTTTTTACTTCTACTCTAAGTGGACGAGGCTTAGCCTCTTCGTCTGGTACAGACACGTAGCGTGTAGGCATAGCCGACGCTATTTGGGCTTGGACCTGCCCTAAAAGGGTCGCTTCATACTGCATGAAGCTTTCAACACGTGCATTAAGCACTTCAGGACCTTGTGAAACAAGGAACTCCACGTACTCTGGACCCAAAGATGCGGTCAGCTTATCAAGCGCGACCTTTTGGGCCTCAGATAGGGGAGTGATGTTTTCCATCCTCACAGAGGATCAGTCTTAAAGACTCATGCGTAGATTGACTACAAGTGCTACCAAGTGTAGCGGAGCTACACAGCTCCTTAAGTCAGAGGAAGACTTAACGCTCTACGAGCAACTTAGTTCTAAAGAACTAACGACTTTACGAGTCAACAAGCTTTATAGCTTCAGATCCCTGTTCCAGGGGACCTAACGATTCAGTGAATCGACAGCACTTAGTGCTCAAGAGTAGCTACCTCAAGGAGGTGTCGCTAACTCTCAGTGATCAGAGATCAACGATCAAGACGGCTCGCAAGCCACGTGTCTTTCAGATCAAAATGGGAACTGATTTTATTTTTGATAAAGCCTATAGAATATCTTAATCCTACTCAAAGATCTTTCGTATCTAATGGCTGACACTCGTCAGCCCCTACAAACCGATAAGATATTCTATATCACCTTCACAGAAGCGAACCCTCAGGTGTGTAACACCTCTGGTACAAAGTACCATGATTTCGTGCAACCCCGTTACACGTGAAGCAGCTCCAGATCGATGTATACAAACAAATGTGGCCTCCGTATGGTCTCCTTTGGGTGGCACATCCCTTGCCGCCTGTAGTGTCGATAGCATTCTATTTGTTTACATCAGAGATGGCCAACATTGTAGTTCTTTAGCAAAGCGTCGACCAGGCTCTACCTCCTGCCACGTTCGCGTTAAAGATGACCGTGAGCTCTTACAAATTGCCAACCTCTCTAGATTCGCAATCTTGCAAGAGCATCAGCCACCGTAGGTACCCTGACTTTTTTCCACTGCGAGCACAGAGCATATCGCGCTTAAACCGATCGATTTTGCGAGGGTGATATTGACAGCAAAACCCTGGTGCATGGCGTACTGCTTGACGTCCGGACAATTTGCTCGTGACTTCGAATGTCTGGACTGGGGTTGGACCTTTTCAACTCCATGATTAACCGGGGCGGAAGGAGTGGCAGTATCAGTAGTGGCTTCAACAGTGCATGAAGCGGCAATACTGGTATCATCAAGACCAGAGGAAGAGATCAACATCATTATTAGCACCACTTAATGTGAAAAATCGATGGCTTGTCATAGCGTAGACGTTAAAGTTACGAAGACGGAAAGGGAGGCCTGACAGATGCTAAACCGCGGACGTTCTCTTGTTAAATGATGGATGATCTCTTAACAACATGTTGAAAATGTCCTAATATATTACATGGATAGCCTTGGCGATACGTAGGTGTATCTACCGATACGTGCGACTGTATCCACATTCACCCTACCCGTCCAAATATACTGTATTTGTAAAAATGGTACTGATGCGTCTGTACAATACAGGGCACGATACTTGCGACAAGCGACGGTCGCCACATGGGACTTTGGCACATAGCCACTTGATACCTTGAGACGATGACAATTCGAGTTCGATTAGTTCGTGCCAGAACACGTCCGTGACGGACACACGACGAATTTGATGCACGGAGACAGGATTGGATCGTTTACACGTTGCGCGCAGGCCAAGTGCAGTCATTTAGGTGTTGTAGCAACCAGTCTCTGGCCAAGCCAGGGTTTATACATTCTGCTGCTGCTGCTAGCGACGATGTTGGAAATCACATGCTAGATGCCAATTTGATTTGTCTGCGGTGCTAGTGCGTCCAGAATGTCTCTTGTACACATGCTGGCTCATCCGCTTATTGCAATCACAGTCATTCGGAGGGAATACACCTCTTGAGAAATTTTGGTCAACCCCGTCTCTTGACTGTTTAGCCCTCCAGGGGTTGTCGACACGGTAATCTTGCAAGCAGAAGGGTGGTATCGCATCATAACACTTGGCGGTAACGCTGGGACGGGATTTGATGTTGCATCCTACCGGCGTTTGTCTCGAGACGCTCAAGGGCTGAACGCGCGGTCTGATACTTTGCGATTCCCTCCTCCAACGATCAACCATGCTGACGCGGTCTAACACTTCGCAATTTACTCCGTCAACGATCAAACATACTGACAATGCGATTCTCCTATCCTGTACTCGTGGCTATAACCTTGGCATGTTCCGACAGTGCGACATTGGACGAGGAAGCGAGGACATTAGAGATTATGAAGCCCTTGATTCTAAATCTGGAGGTGCTGCAGCTCCGGACACAAGGCAAGCATATAGGCGACTCTTTCACCAAAATGCGGAATGGCATCGCAAAAGCACAAGACGCCATCATCGCTATCCTAAGCCACCCAAAGATGGCGGCGCTAGAGAGACTCCACTCAGCTCCAGTCGTGGTCAAGAGGTTTGTGTTTCAGTTTGGAAATCATGTGGTGGCGCAAGTACTCGTTCGTGCGAAAGAATCCAGCAATAAGGATGTCGTGAGGATCGCGACAAAACTGTTGAAGGCGCAGTTTGAATCCTGGGGTCGCCGATCTGCCGCCAACGTGTTTAAGCTGATGAAACTTGACGACGCTGCGAGCGAGGAATATCGTGATTTCAGCTGGAAAATCACCGTCTTGAACGATTATATCGCGGCCCGCCTGACCGACTTGCCCCTGAAGAAAACACTTCTAAGGACCTTGGTAAAGGGTTACGGTGGCATGGACAAACTCGTAGCCATCCTGCATGGCGCAAGACAGTCCAATGACGATCAAGCGAAGCAGATGGCGGAGACTCAATTGACCAACATGTTCGATCTTTGGAAAACTCGCGACACGTCACCAGAGAGAGCTGTTGATTTGCTGAAGATGAAAGGCCGACCAGAAGCCTTTACAGCTGCGAATCTGGATGTACTCGCAGCCTACACGAGACATTACTACAAGGATAGAAGCGGTGGGCCGCCGCCTTTGATTAAGGTACTGTCCGACGGGATTCGCAGTCACGGCCAACTAGCCGTTGCACTTTCAACGCAATTATCGAAAAAAGAGACGCCACAATTGCGGGAACTTCAGCTTGAGCTATTCAAACGTTGGTGTGCGTCGGGTGGGGCTCCAGAAAATGTCATTGGTCGATACTTACAACACATAGGCGAGAAGGACGCGGATTTGGTTGCGAAAGACTTTCGTGATTACTGGAACAAAAGGGGGACGCTCGGCGTTGCTCGGTGAAGGAGTTTAGACATCCAGTGTAGATTTTAGCGGCAGAGCGACATTAGTACACCATGCCGGGGTACCTTGCATTAAATACACGTTCTTACTGCCTACAAACAAACGCGTGATGTCACATATGGTGCAGCTGTCGATCAACTGTTGAACACAACCGTACAACGTGTAAAAATGGGACGCTGCTAATGTGATGAATAAACTACGGCCCCTGCGAAAATATTGAATCGCACTCGCTACTGCTGCGCAAACGTGCTTCCTGGCTTACGTCACATGGACGACACACTCTTTCACTAGCGAGAAATCGTGAAATTTCGAGTATACTTTACATAGCTAACAATGACACCCACAGGCGTAGAGACTATCGCAAACAATGCTAGCAGGGGAAAGTCAGACCCTGATGCAGGTATTTGCTTCAGGAGCTAGTGTGCGTCGTACAATCACAGCACATTGATTCGTTTCTGTTGCGTGTTTCGAGGTGAGGAACACTTGTTATCTCAGCAAGCCTGACGTGCGGACAGATCGCATCGTCAAGAGCTAATACTGTTGCTCGCTCTAAGCAAAAGGAGCGACGTAACTAGCGTCGTGACAGTCGCTAATACACTAAACAAGCGACGACATTCAGGTATCGCAGTCTCGGAAATGCTGCGAGTGGAAGCTGTGGATCAACCAGTACAGCTCAAATATGGTACACGATATTGTAGAGGACGAAGGTTCGATTCTAGACATATGGGTGCGTCTTTTGTGCCACACTGAGCGACGCCGAGCGGCATAAGTGCATTGTACAACTCAACGTGTGTAATTGCTGTGCGCCACCTTGTTCAATCAACGTGAACACTCCAAGGGTTTATTGAGTGATTTTATCCCTAGGTTCATTTTAGCGAACAAGAATATGCAAGAAGGCATCTCGAAATCACGATGATCGACTTATGTATCATCCAATCAGCAACTATTGCTCTCAAGCGAACCAAAATCGGAGTTGTGAAAGCTTGGATTTGCGTCATGCTAGATCGCGTCACGGAGGTTCGCAAAAGTACAAAGTGGTGTAATGATGCGTACGAGCCTTACTCTAGTTCGCGTTCGGGATAGAATACGGCGAAATGTGCTGATGTTATCATCGATCTGCTGTTTGTACTTGACCGCTCTCGATATATCGACGGTGATGAATGCTTCAAAAGTTGCGCCAATACGTATCATCCACTTCAACTGCACGCGGCTGCACCCGATATGTCTGGATTGGAGCCTTTACAGCTGCTGACTTCAACTTTGATGACGCTGGCGCTCTTCCACCACCCAAAAGATACTTTATGGGGATGTTTGTGGCTGGTGTAGCTGGTGAAGCTAGTCACGCTGGTGTTGCCATTCGTGCAAGAAGATACATGCTACCCTTCAAGATGGACTATTACACTTTGTTCTTCTGGCAGCTCCACGAGCTGTTTAAACACGACGAAAGTTTCGAGCGTGATTGACAGCTTTTTTCATCTCAAGGTCTACTGTTGACTCTGAACGGATGACTCATGTCGATTCTACATTCGTTGCGAGCCCGAAGGGTGAAGCAATAGTGACTGTGCGCAAGGTCGAATACCAAGCTTTTAAATCGTACTTATCTCGATGTGCGTCTGTCTGTAAATAACGCGGTTAGGTGTTTTTCACTCGTACTAAGTACGATCTAGCCTGTCCCCCTCAGAGGTGGATTAGCACGATCGGTGTCACTCTATGGCTAGGTCACTATTGTGATGTTCACCTGGTCGACCTAAATTCGATCAAAGGTGATTATGATTACATTAGTAAATGCTGGACGCTCATAAGCACAGATTGATCGCATTGCCCAAGTATACTGTACTATGTTTATACATGTAAAAACCAAATGATACTCATTCTTCAGTGTCTGCCGTTGTATAGATTTTTGCAACTTCATTCAATTCTCCAAACTAAATGAATTACATCAAGAAGCGACCTCCAGAGCTTGATCCCCTTGGTTATAGTTTTTCGAACGACCCTCTGCTCTACTCGTCATCAAGACTTACATTAAACCAATAATTGATCCTCTGCTACTACTATTTTTTGTAGGTGCAGTGGGTACATTTAGTAATTCCAACGACCACCGTCTGCCCTCTTCGGCGGAGCCTGCACATGCCAAACCGGATGGCCACTACTTACTGTAATCTCGGAGAGTTTATGCTTTGACGAGAGGCCAAGCTCATTGGTATCGGGGCCCCGGGTAGGACACTGGTTTCAGGTAATTTTAACGACCTTGGATTGGTCGCACGGGGAATAGGCCGCCAATTATGTGATAAAACGGCGATTATAACCAAAAGCATCAGGGGGACGCATTCTGTTATTACTCCGAACTGCTGTTCCAAGGCGAGTTGTGTTTTACGCAGCTGGCTCTCGTAGTATCCAAGATAATCCATTGTCTTCGAAGCTTTTAGCAATGCACAACGTTACTGTACAAGGATTACACATCGTAGGGTGCTCGATACCCTGTGTCTTGGACACACGGGATGATATCCTACTGAAAGAGATACATATTATCTCATTGGTTTATAGGGCCTGATGAGTGTCAGCCCCAAGATAGGAAAGATCTTGAAGATTTTAATTTAGGACATGAGTGCCTAGATTAGGTAATATCAGGAGTAAGATATTCTATAGAGTTAAATGTAAATAAAGTTCAGTTCCCTTTTCGATCTTGTCTAAGACACGTGCCTTGCGAGGCGTCTCTGATCGTTGGTCGTTAAGAATTAGCAACACCTCCGTGAGGTAGCGACTCTTGAGCACTAAGTGCTGTAGAGTCACTGAATCGTTCGGTCCCCTAAAACAGAGACCTACGTCTTTACGCTTGATGGCTCATAGAGTCTAGTCCTTTAGACTAATACAGATCGTTGAGCACTAAGTCTTCCTCTGACTTAAGGAGGTTTTTTTTCTCTTCCACACTTGTTAACACTTGTAGACAATCTAAGCCTGAATCTTCAAATACTGATCCGCTGTGCGCATGGAAACCCCCGTTACCCTCTATGAGGCCCACAAGGTCGCGCTTTATAAGCTGGTCGAACTTCCCGATACAGATGATGTAGAACTCCTTTTTTGCAAGCCTGGAGGTCCTAACTGCACATGTTATGGGCTCTTTGCAGTGTGAAGCGTCCTTTCCAGGGCCAGTACATGCCAAACGGCGTCAGATATGCCTACCCGTCATGAGCCTGTTGCAGACAAGTAAGCTAGGCCTCGTCCACTTAGAGTGGATGTTAAAAACTACCCAGGAAAGGAGGATGGAAAACTTATTCTCTGATTCTGTGAGATTGAGATGACCAAGCGATTAATCCTGATCAATCTTGACCATTAACAGTTCTTTCTGGATATTAAAGCTCGATCAAAGAGCTAGTGAATGGGACTTGATGTGTGGCACGTCAGCCGACTAAGAGTTTCTTACACGAAAGTACCTTAAGTCACAGTCGGTACAAAGGTTTTCACTACCTAACCAGGCTTACCGCGTGCTTTCACGCTTCTTATCAACCATTCAGGGTAAGAATGAGTTTAAGGAATATGTACGAGAGGTGAGAACTCTTATGGATGCTATACAGCCTGCTCCTCTGCCTGAGACAGTCAATGGGACTAAAGTCCTGGAGGTCCTCTGCGCTGGAAATTCCAGAACCAATGTCTTTTGGGTTCACCCTCGATTTTTAAAGAGGCTGTGATGATTGCTCCTAATGCGGAGCAGAACTTCAATTTGGCCGGAATGGGTACAACACCAGCTCTGTGAGAGCAAACTCCAAAAGTGCTCTGGCCGTTGATAGGCCGAAACCGATGAATCTCAGCCCTGCTGAAAGTGAAGGTGAAGTTTATCTTCAATCTGCTGAGCAGCAACGTGTTGAACGACGGTGTTATGCGTGCGGAAGCACTAAACACTTGCGGCCTGGTTTCCCTTTGCGTAGATAGCGATAGGATACGATTCGACACTCTACCCCGATTCAGAAGTCTGCCATGGCACGAGTATACGTCGATACCCAGTGGGCGCGGGGCGCCATATTGGGAAACAAGTAGGTTCTGTAACACCTTAAGAAATTAAAATTGAACAGGTTTCAGCCCTAAAGAGTTCCATACCTACTGGTATAAAGCGTGGATACAAGTATGGATTTTTTTGTTGCTGAGGCGAAAGCTAAAGGCTTTGAAAAGCCTTGGTAGAGTTTATTCAATTTTACGGAGTCTTGCATTTACGCTCGACGTATTTTCCTTGAGGGATGTCAGCGTTATGCTGAAGCGCTTACAGTGCAAGAGGGTGATTCAATCACGGTTCATTCAGCGAATGGAAGTCGTATCACTGTACCTAAAGTTCCGTTGCTCGTAGGTTAAAAGATTTTGAGCTTGGACAGCATTAAACGCTGTCTTTTACTCGATCTGGACTTAAGTTATAATTTTTACCTTAGGTGTGGCTTGGCTTGAACGCCATGAGCCATGGATTGATTACAGGTCTGAGACATTAGGAGCTGCGCGCAATGTTCCTAGCGAAGTTTTGGAAAGTCATGAACCCACCTTTTCTAGGCAAAAAAATGCTATTGGCGTGAGCCTTTGACAGAATATGCCAATTTGCTGGACATTGAAATGTCTGAATCAACTAACTTCGACATTGAAAACAAAAATTTCGAGCGTAGCTCCTTGAGTATTAGTGATACGACACGTACTCCGTTGAGTGTTATCTGTTGTGATAACGAGTCACTTCATGCGAAAGCACGGTTGGCCTAGGGCCGAGTTATCGAGGACGCGACTATTTGATGTGTGTGGTGTCACATGAAGATGCACCAAGTGCAGTCGGCCGTGAAGGCACCACACTTAACATCGGTGATGACGTTGCTGTCGAAACGCCATTAAGTTCAGGGCTCGGCTCGTATGATGTAAGTGGAGTAACACGTTTAAATTCACTAGGTGAAGTGTTAGAGTAACGTAACACTCGACAGGGTGTCGGTCGAGACATCAGCTCTCGTATATATCGTGCTACTACTAGTAGCAACCACGATGACACTATAGTCCCGACCCCAAAGGGGGGGGCATCATCGAAGAGACGACTTGGACGCCAGGTGGATATTGTTAAGCGCCAGGCGTCCGAGTAGTCACATAGTGACAATAGTGATACACTATATACATCCATCGACGGAGTGATTGTCCAGGTTAAGGGCAGTGTTAACCTGGAAACACTTATATGTTTGCATGGTTATTGTGAGCTAGACGAAGTGACTGATGAAGATTTTATACAGGCGTTAAAGGCAGGAGATTGATCCGAATTAGCGGTCGTTAGACCCGATGTCGAGTTAAATCGTCCTCATTAATGGATGATTCGGTTCTAGAGGACACTAAGGCGGCACTCAGTACCCATAGTGGATCTTCGCTCATGCGGCTGGAATGTTTCGTGAGATTAAATCTTCTATTCAACACCGACATTTTATGTCTAGAAGCCAAATGGCAAGTGGCGTATTGTGCATGCTTACAATAAGATTAATGCAGCCACTACACCGGCGCAGATCCCTATTATTAAAAAGGATGTTCTTTAAAGCAATATGGCAGGTTGTGCACTGTACAGTGCACTCGACTTTGTCGACGGTTATAACCAGCTCCTCATGCGAGCGAGTGATATTCCGCTGATAGCGGTGAGTACTCCGAGCGGTATGCTCTGGGAGTGGCTTGTTGTGCCTCAAGGGATGTCTAACGCCCCGGATACTTTAACCGTCTAATGACGCAACTGTTCAGACCTCATCGGGGTTGTGCACTAACGTACTTTAAGACATCTTTGTACATAGTCGTGCAACGGATGGTCGATCAGATGTGGATAGTTATATTGATCATTTACGAGCGGTACTCGAGTGCATGCGCAAGGATTAAATAGAATAAATTGTACGCTAACACGTCTAAGTGCGGCTTTAATGCAGAAGAGATTCCATTTCTAGTGTGCTTCATTGGGAAGCGAGGCCTTCGAGCGGACTCCGCTAAGTTAATAGCCATAGTCGATTGGCCGGCTCCTAAGAATTAAAAGGAATTACGCAAGTTGCTTGGCCTCGTCAATTACTTGCAGAAGTATAGTGCGAATTACGCAGACACGGCTAGGCCATTATCCAATCTCCTTAAAAAGGATGTGGGTTGGTGTTGGGGTCATACCGAACACGATTCTTAAAAGCGGTTAAGGAGAGTCTCCTTCATGCGCCAGTATTGGATTTGCCCGATCCTGATCGGCCCTTCAGTGTCGTCTGTGACGCATCTGACTTTGCCATTGGCAGTGCTCCGTTACATAGAGATGTTGATAAACGTGAGCGCGTCATTGCATTCGAATCTCGACAGCATAAAGTCGCTGAAAAGAGCTATACATTCATGACGAAGAACTACTAGCTATGAGGTATGCTCTAGTCAAATTCAAATTGCATCTGCTTGAATCTGAGTCTTTTTTATCTATACAGATCATGCGTCATTGCGCACTGCGACACAGTCGCCACATCTCTCTCAGAGAATAGATCTTTGGCGTTTACTCTTTGCCGAATATGACTTTGAAGTGAATTATAATCCAGGAAAGCAAAACGCTTTGGCTAATGCGCTATCGCGCTGAATTGACTATGAGCTTGCTCACGTTACTACCCTGTAACCTTCAGTCGCTGACTCAATTTGTACGGCTTATGCCAAAGATAAATAATGTGTAGTTTGCTACGGGCTCTTGTAAGCAAGGATTTTAAAGACTTAAACATGTAATTCTCGTCACTTTTACGTGCGTGGCTACATCTAAATTCTATTAATGATGGCATGTTGTGCTATCGCACAAGTATTAGGGAAACCCCTCGTATAGATATCCCTCAAGATGAGGAGTCGAAGTATCGAATTCTCTACGAGGCACGTGATACTTATTTAGGTGGCCATCCCGGTCGTAAGAAGACGTATAGCTCAGTAAGCCAGGTTATTTAAGGGCCCAAACTATAAAGTGGGTGATCACCTATGTGTGAACGTGTGAAACGTGTCAGAGAATAAAATTCGCAACACATGGGCGGCGCCGCTGGCTATTCTGCTTGTACCCACTGGCTGTTGGAAGCCCATCAGTATGGACTTTGCACTTGGCCTGCCGAAAAATTCGGAATATGCTGAAGTTACAGCGAAGCTGTTTATCTACTTTGTGTGCCAACAACATGGTTTTCCAGTGTCAACTGTCTCTGATAGAGATCCCAGCTTCACTAAGAATTTTGAAAGTCAATCGACAAGGTTCTCGGCACTCGATTGGGCATGTCCACAGCGGAACATCCGCAGACTGATGGTCGTACTGAGCGTGTTCGATCACGTCATTGATGACATTTTGCACCGTGTTTGCGCTTATACGCCAAAGCATTGAAGATCCATGCTCCTTGCTGTTAAGCTTTCGTTGAACAATTCTGTTCATGACTCTACAGGCTACACTCCGTTCTATGTAAACGCTCATACCCGCTATCGCATTCTGTTAGCTCTACTACTCTGGGGTTAAGGGATTAAAGTGGTAGAGATTGCTGATTGGCTTGCTGATATCATTCCTGCTACTTTTCAAAAACAGGTAGGCGAGTTTCTTTCAACGCAATTTAATGTCTTGAGACATGTGTGTGTCGCAATAGCTGAAATCTAGGGTCAACAAAAAAGTAGCAGATGCTAAAACAGAGGCTGTATTAAAAGTCATTAGGTTGGAGACTTATTATTACTTAATGCTTAAAACCTACCTATTAATATAGTGTCCTCTGTCTTCTAGACAAAGTTGCGCCCGCGCTTCGTTGGACCATTTACGGTCGTTGCTACGAAGGGACTTGCGTATACGCTCAACCTTCCGCGCAAATTGCGCACTCATCTTATGCTCTGAGATGGCTTGCTTAAGCCTTATCGGGATCCGTCCCGCGTGGACTAGGAGGCGCTTGCGCTGCGAAATTAGGACTTGCCATCGGTTGCTGAATCCGAATCAGGAGGTCAAGCTGGGCCTCTATCCGGTATAAACCGACCCCAACGCCTGAACGCGAAATCGAGTCGCGTTGAGCGCACTCTAAATTCTACCCAATGTCCCTTGAAGACAACTTAGCTCGAAAAGCACCTTATCATGCTCCTCCTTTGGTAAACTGACCTCCACCGACGCTGCTCGATGAGCAAAGGAACAATCATGATGATGTCTTCATGGCCACTACCAGTATTCGGTGAAGTGGCGTGGGTACCCGAATCGGAGAACTCATGTGAGTATGATGTTCCCCTTCGTCAAGATTGCCCCTTACGCCGTGGATGTTTTTGAACGTTGTAGCCAGTGTCTTCTCGAGGCCGAAACAATTTACTACCACGAGTGATTAGGGTTGGCGGTTTGTTGGTCACAGTCTGGCCAGCACTCGCAGCTACGTAAGTAGACGAAGCCTAGCCCGTGCGATTGCACTATAGGATTCTGGTATTATGATTGGCATAATCATACTGAAGCTTGCTTTCGAGACGCATATCAGCCACATTGACACAAGCGCTCAGAGTGCACATACTGCTAAGGTGACGAGTGCGGTGCACCTATCGAATGAAGTCTTTGTCTTCTTCGTACGTTGTTTCGCCTGCAAACAAGAGAATGGGTATACCTTAATCGGTGGAACCGGTGCACCATGAGCTTGCATCTCAAGGCGTGCCTTATAAGGACCTTTTTTTGTCACGTATGGGTCCATGTACCTTTCACGAAGTGCCTGGCCACTTGTCTCTTCCTCGGGAGAAGTAGCTTCAGGGCCAATGCCCCACGCTGCCAAAATTTGGCCAGTTGTTTGACTTAAATGTTCATCCACGCTATGTGGAGTGATCACATAGTCACGCTGGCTTGCAATGGTCGTGAACATTTGTGCATTGCACCGAACGCTTTCTTCTCGTTGAACATCAAACTCTTGATGTTCATCGATCGGGCTGGTGATAATTGCATCATCCGAATCGGGCGTTGAATATGGCGCCAATGGCGCATTTGTATCATCACGTTCATCGAACGGACTTAACGTAGTAGAAGGTTGTACTTCAGGCATGTATGTATCGGACGTTGTCTTTGCATCACCCGGGACACTGGTATCGCTACCATAGTCCACTACCTGCCCCGTCTCGGGGTATTCACGAAAATCCTGTCGCTCGTTAGGCGATGAGGACATGGTGCTTAAGCTTTGCGTCACCGTGAGGTTCACCGCAAGTGCAACGATTTCGTTGAGGAACAAACTTTGATTGACGCTTGGGTAAGCGTCAGTCTAGTGGGGGAGGGTTTGAAGGTGTTACACATCGTAGGGTGCTCGATACCCTGTGTCTTGGACACACGGGATGATATCCTACTGAAAGAGATACATATTATCTCATTGGTTTATAGGACCTGATGGGTGTCAGCCCCAAGATAGGAAAGATCTTGAAGATTTTAATTTAGGACATGAGTGCCTAGATTAGGTAATATCAGGAGTAAGATATTCTATAGAGTTAAATGTAAATAAAGTTCAGTTCCCTTTTCGATCTTGTCTAAGACACGTGCCTTGCGAGGCGTCTCTGATCGTTGGTCGTTAAGAATTAGCAACACCTCCGTGAGGTAGCGACTCTTGAGCACTAAGTGCTGTAGAGTCACTGAATCGTTCGGTCCCCTAAAACAGAGACCTACGTCTTTATGTAACGGGGCACCCTGAAGCTTGTACTGGTGACAGTACAAGCTACTTATTCTGATAACAGAATAAGGCGGTGCCTCGTAACTTCACGTACACTCGTACGTGCAGAGGAAGACGGTAAGAAGAAGCGAGTACTCGGTTAGAGTAAAAAGTAGAACTGTATTTATAATAGTTAATGTCTGCAATAAATCACTATTTATCTTCATCTAACTATGTCTAAATACAAATGTGTAAATCAGTTATCTGCTCACCACTCATTGCGTGCGTCTGTCGTGGCGCGTCTTCGTTGGTTGATATAATGGCCTATATCAACCAATTAGGAACTACTTGGAAGTGCTACCGAATATTGTCCTTATGACAATATTCTGAGAATATAACTCTTATAGTTATATTCTATTAACAATTTCTTATAAATTGTTATGTAACGATTCACCCCGTTACATCACCCCCCTTAACCATCAGTCACTTTAGTGACTGATTGACTAAATGGATACTCGTCCCAAATCATTTGGGACGGGGTTTGCACTTGTTGGTCCGCGTCCACTTTCCAACATCTCATCGCATGGTAAACAAGCCCATGCGATGCGCGCGAGCAAGGCCGCCGAGAGCGCGTCTGCACGTCTCTGTGCGGACGCCGAAGCAGAAACTACAGCAACTGATGTCCCATCGGTTGCTGAATCGACTCAGCCTGTATCACCTGGTGATGCAGGCGCTGGTCATGAAGACACTCGTGTCTTCACAGAGTACGAGCTCGGTGTCTCGTACTCTCCTGATACGGATGACGGATCCGTATCGACGGCAATTGAATCCAAGCCGCCTGCCAAGCGTGGCATGGACGATGCTTTGCGTCGCAGCATCTTTGGTTCATCTGATGAGTCAGATGAACCATCGCCGAAGCGAAGGCGCTCGAGGTCGCGAGACTCGGGCGCTAATAGTGGTGTCGGTTCTCCTATGGACACCACTTCACAGCGAGGTGCCAGTACTTCTGTCGGCACGTCGCAGGAAGAGCGGGACCGCAATGTGTTGCGTCTCGCTCCAGAAAAGAAGGCATGGATGCCTCCTAAATCCGTCATGGATCACTTGTCGGCGACGACGAGTGATCGTTATCGAACACGATTGTTCGATTCGTCAAGGATCCATCACCTTGACCCCAGCGCGAAAGACTATCGCGCTGAACATGAGTTCTTCGTCGATGCTTTCTTCAGACATCGATGGTACAGTGGGAATCACAAACGTGATGGTCCCTCACTACTTCAGGCGTGGAACGCCTACATCCATAATCTCGAGGATGTAGGTCGTGACGCTTGGAACGACAAACTTATCAAAGCTCGTGATAAGTTTGAAAAGCGAACCCCGACAGGTGCACGCTACAAGCTGCATCGTCTGTCAAGGGAGAAAGGATTACCCTGCCTCTCTTGGGGAGACTCGTGCCCATGTTGTGTGAACAACTCTGCACGAGCACCTAAGGAGGCTTACCTCCTTACCAGCCCGTGGTGGCGCGTACGTGTCTCTACTGAGATGTACGAAGGGATTGACAACCTGAAATCCCTTTACGACCGTGCCGGGAAGACTTTCTCCGGCGGTCCTTCTGCGGCACAGGATGTGTCGCGTCGTACTGCTCGACCAGACCCAGTACGTCAACCATCAATTGGGAGCGGGGCTCCCAAGAATCCCAGGACGGGGGATAGCCGCGCCACCGGACGAGGTAACTCGTCCGACGTCCGTTCACGTCGCGGTGGTTCAACAGCTGCTCTACTAGATAGCGCTGGCCACCGCGAGAGTCCTCTAATGGAGGTGGAGGAGGAGGAAAGACGCTCTCCACACGATCATGTGGATCGGTGTGTTCCCGAGAGCTTCTTTGATCGCGTAACGCAAGGGTTACGCGACGATCTCGAGCATGAGCGGAATAGGCGTCTCCAGATGGTGGACACTGCCTCGAAGCATCGAGCTGAGTTTGCCTTTGCTCAGCTTGAGAACGAGAGATCTCTGACATCTCTTCGTGACGAGCTAAGGGTAGCTCGTGGGATTGTTGATCGGTCTCGGGCTGAGATAACTGCTCTTCAGACCCTTGTTGATGCCCACCATCGGGAGCACAAGGCTCTCTGCGAGATGCTTGAGCGCAAGGGCGTTCTTCATCGGAAGAAGCAGCGTACTGATGGTACGGCTTAAGCCGACCAACGTAAAACGTGGGATGCGTTCGCATCTTACGTGGTAACTCGATCGTGTATGCATTGCCTAGGCGGTGCAATACACGAAATGGGCCAATGTACTTGGGTAGTAGTTTACTGCTACCCAAGTTAGTCACTACATTCTTTGGTAGATTAACCGTAGACAGTAGGACTAAGTCACCTTTATTAAATAAAAGAGTGTTTGCCCTTCCATTCTTGTCAGCGTTTTGCTTTTGCTTATCCACCGCTTCGGCGATGGAGTCTTGCACAAAACGGACTACCGTTTCACGAGCCAGTATGAACTCATCTGATGACTCGTTAGCTTCAGTGTGCTGTGAGCGCACTGCAGCAACAACAACCTTTTCTTCAGTGAGGGCTTCCGCACTCTCACTGGGATCATTGTCTTCAGTGAGGGCTTCCGCACTCTCACTGGCATCATCTTCTTCGATATCGATGTTATCGATATCGGCATCAAACGCAATGACTTCTTCGTCAGAGCGTGATGAGCGTGAACCAAATCGGTTTTTGCTCGCGCGAGTCCCTCCCCCCTTAAACCAGAGTTACACTCTAGTAAGGTGGGTATACGCGGATGGCGCAAGCCATTCACGTAAAACGGTGTATGTGTCGTGGACGCATGCACCGAGTTGTTGATGGCAAACTCTACCATTGGCAAAAACTCACTCCAACTCTTAAAGGAGTGTACGTATCCTCGAAGTATCTCTTCAAGGACACGATTGGCACGTTCCGTCTGACCATCCGACTCTGGATGATCAGATATTGACATCTTCAAGCGCGTTCCGAGTGATTTGAACACGGAACGCCAGAAATCAGCAGTGAATCGTGGATCTCTGTCTGATACGAGTTCACGGGGCAACCCATGAAGTCGGAAGATGGTGTCAATAAAGACACAAGCACAGCCACTTGCCGTGATTGTCTCTGGTACAGCCACAAGGTGTACCATTTTGCTGAATCTGTCAACAAATACGAGAATACCCGTATTCCCGCGTGCGTCTTTGGGTAACCCGAAGACGAAATCCATTGAGATGGATTCCCAGCACTCAGCCGGAACCGGTAGAGGCTGTAAAGGTGCACGCAGTGAAGGACTTGACTTCACTCGTTGGCAGACTTCGCATGCGCGAACATACTTTCGCACAAACTGATACTGGCGGGGCCAGTAAAAGTCTCGACTTACCGTGAGATATGTTTTCTCTCGGCCACGATGTCCTCCTATAGGAGCATCGTGATACTCGAACATGATCCGCAAACGCAGATCAATATCATCTGGAATGACAACACGTGGTGTGTCACCAGAAACGGCTGTATAGTACAGTAAACCGTTATGAGTAGTGTATCGATCTGATGCGGATCGATACGCAGACGACAATCGTTTCAACGATTCTCGAGATGGTTGGGAGAGATGTGACAACAACTTCACTATCTCACCATCTTGGGCGTATGCCCGCCTCACATCATCATACAACATTGTAGATGGGACTGAGGACGTCATAACCGCAACAGTGACTGTCTCACTGTTGGGTTTCGCGACTGTTTCAAAGTCGGGACGACGTGAGAGTGCATCAGCGACGACATTAAGTCGTCCTGGTTTGTACTCGACCGTAAAGTTGTATTCTGCAAAGAATGACAACCACCGCGCCATTCGTTGTGAAAGGTGCGGGCTGTTCACTGCCGTGCGTAAGGACGCATGGTCAGTGTAAACAACGAAGGGTCTATCTCCTAATAGATAGACTCTGAACTTCGCGAGTGCATACTTCATGGCAAGGAGTTCCTTGTCATGCACTGGATAGTTCCGCTCAGCTGGTTGCAGCTGACGCGACTGATAGCAGACGACGCGTTCAACGCCTTCAAGGTCGTACTGCATTAATGCACAGCCGATTGCGAAATCGCTGGCATCACAGACCACATGAAATGGCCTGTCCTGATCGGCTATTGCTAGGACTGGGGATTGTATCAAGCTCTGCTTGATACCCTCAAAGGAGCGTTGACATTCAGCGTTCCATAACCACCTCTCGTTCTTTTTCAACAAACGAGAGAGGTGTACAGTCATCTCGGCGTAATTGCGTGAATACTTATGCAAATACGCCGCTAGCCCAAGGAATTTTCGAAGACCTTTGACATCGACCGGCACAGGCCAGTCGGTGATCGCCTTGATCTTTTCGGGATCAGGACGTACACCGTTCTTACCAACGATGTACCCAAGAAGTGGTATTTCGCTTGCTGCAAATATACACTTCTTGAGGTTAGCATACAATTGATGCTTTCGCATGATTGTAAGAACTTGTCGGACGTGGTACCTGTGAACCTCAACGTCCGACTTTCCAT